TCATCTGTTGCTTGATCTTCATCAACAGCTGTCGCTCCTCTTCGTTACGCTTGTGCACTTGTCGGATCAGGATACGGTTGATGATCTCAGCACCTCTGCAATTGACAAGAATGCCGTCTGTCACCCAGGGTAGACTGGGCGGTTCTGCACCACTTGGTGGTGAACTGATGTATGGAAAGCTGTGTGTTGTGAGAGCTCTTGGGGAGCCAGTGAACAGTGTGGAGGCACAAGTAGATTACTACAATCTGAGAAGAATGGCACTGCGAGGAGTTACCAAGGGATCTGACCAAAGCTCTATACTCAAGGGAAAGGCGAGATGGATATACAATCAGACAGTTACTGGTTCCATCGGAATTGGAACTCTTCACTTGCTGCTGAAGATGAGGACAGAGTGTCCAGGGTGATGTGATGTCAATTCTAGATTCAACATTCAACATTATGGGTATGCAAAGGAAATTTTGGCTCTCCTCCGAACTTCTCCTCCTCCGAATGTTGCGTCTCTTGAAATTGTCAAGTAATCCTAGTTTTGTCGTCGTAAGATTTGACTAATTAGGGGTTCTCTTCGAAGTCAGAGTGCAGTTGTCTGAGATGCAAGGAACCAACAAGTAATCCTAATTTTGCCGTCGTAAGATTTGACTAATTAGGGGTTCTCTTCGAAGTCAGAGTGCAGTTGTCTGAGATGCAAGGAACCAACAGTGTGCATACTCATAAGCCAGATCAGTAAAATGGATGTGCAGGCAATACTCAAGTTCGGGAACAAGACTCAAGTCCAGAAGTGGACGAACAATCAAAACTTTCAGTTGAAGTTATCATCAGATGAACGCAAAGAAGACCATTGTTGATTGTTCCTTGTTCATTTTACAGATTCTCTTTACCGCATATTGAACATAACCATAAGTGTTCCGATCTCCTCCTGAATATCCATCCCTTCAAGTGTTTTAAGCTAACAACTCCCATTCTATTCTAGTTGATGTAACCACGGGCGGCTCCCGCATGATTTTTCTGTCTCGCAGCTCCAGTTGGTACACCCAGGATAGGCAGTCTATTCAGTGAAAAATCATTTCCCGTTTAGTCTCTCATATGGCATTGATGATGTCTCTCCTGTCCATAGAGAACAAGATTCATTCAAGGTGGGATCAAGCAACAGACAGACTACTTACTTTGCTACCAGGTTATTCTGAGCTTGGATGGTCTCCGATGTGTGTCTGAAGTAGTGGGAGGAGTAGATGCGGCGCTGCATCAACAGAAAAGTCAGACAGACAACGTCCCAGGCTAGTCCAGCATCATCATGTTCCACAACACACTTGGAGCTTGGGACTAAAGTTTCATTAGTTAATCAGTCATTCAGTCAGTCAGTTTAGTTTAGTTTAGTTTAGTTTAGTTTAGTTTAGTTTAGTTAGTTAGTTGGGTTATCATCATTGCACTCCAGACATGTCCATAGGTGCTCAGATCCTTCCCTCAGTATGAACCCCAGCATTGAGTAGCTAAAAGTACCAGTTATATGTTAATTAACTCTTTGAGTCCCAAGGGGTTTAGCATCACAGGCCCGGGGGGGGGGTAGTAAAGAAAGTAATAAAATCGGGGCATCATGCGTTCATTGGGCTTCTAGGTAGGAACCTATGAACGTACGATGCGTTCCTTGGGACTCAAAGAGTTAACAAGTCCTCTGATGTGCCTGGTGTGTGTCTCATTGTTTGCCATGACAATCTAAACTCCCAAGTCTTTCATTCTGTCGAGTGATGTGGACTCACTGCCCTCAAAGTCCTCCACCTTTCCCATTTCTCGGAGGGCATTAATAATATCAACATGATCCATAGGCTGACCGTCAGTAATGATAGCGGATCCAGCCAACCTATCAGCACTTTCAATTCCACTTAAGTAACAAACACAGCATTCATCAAAGCACTACTTAACTGGTGTCAACTTGAGTAAAGAACAAACAGATAATAAATTGCCCAATCTGTTGCACTGCATATATTTGAATATCTTGTCAAGTGCATATTTCTTATTTTTCTTCTTCTTGTCTTCGCTTTCTGATTTACACCGACAGACAAGTTCTTGTGATAAACTTGACTGTTTTTAGGAGTTCCCTTTTAGTTCCTTACAATTTTTAAGTACAGTGTTGACTCAGTGGGCCAGTATTCCCTTCTTAATAGGCTGTACAAGGGACATTCTTACAGGGCATGTTCTGTAGTCTGCACACATGGCCCACATGGGCACAGTGGTGAACTACTTAGACATGAAGTGCATATTACAGCTACTGTAGTATATTCTTGATGAGATACCGCAAAACTGGAAATAAAATTAACCAAAATGAAAACTGAGATGAAAAAATAAAGTGAGATGGAAATTGAGATGAAAGCTATTCGAGATGAAAACTAACTGAGAAGAAAATTGAGATGAAAACTAAATGAGAAGAAAATTGAGAGATGAAAACTAAATGAGAAGAAAAGTGAGATGAAAATAAATGAGAAGAAAATTGACATGAAAACTAAGTAGGAAGAAAATTGAGATGAAAACTAACTGAGAAGGAAATATAAATTAAAACAAAATGAGAAGAAAATTTAGATAAAAAACTAAATGAGAAGACAATTGAGATGAAAACTAAATTAGAAGAAAACTAAATGAGAAGAAAACTAAATGAGAAGAAAACTAAATGAGAAGAAAACTAAATGAGAAGAAAACTAAATGAGAAGAAAACTAAATGAGGAGAAAACCCCCTGAGAGGAAAGCTAGCCAAGGTGGAAAAAAAAAAATTTAGATTTAAAAAAAACTGAGATTTAGGCTAAATGAGAGGAAAACTGAAAAGAAAACTAAGAGGTGACAACAAAATCAACTTACCTATAACATTATCACTAAGCAGGCACTGCACACCAAACAGCTGCACAATCCAGCACTGGTGCTTGTTGACCAGGGTGTTAACATACACACAGCCAACCAACTGTTGAACACACACAAACAGAATTTCTGACTTTCATTGTTCAAATCCCAACTGTGGTCAGAATTCCTTTCATTGTTCAAATCCCAACTGTGGTCAGAATTCCTGACTTTCATTGTTCAAATCCCAACTGTGGTCAGAATTCCTTTCATTGTTCAAATCCCAATTATGGTCAGAATTCCTGACTTTCATTGTTAAAATCCCAACTGTGGTCAGAATTCCTGACTTTCATTGTTCAAATCCCAATTGTGATCAGTATTCCTGAATATCATTTGTTTAAATCTCCACTGTGGTCAGAATTCCTGACTTTCATTGTTCAAATCCCAATTGTGGTCAGTATTCCTGAATATCATTTGTTCAAACCCCCATTGTGGTCAGAAATTATGTCTGTCAGTTCAAACCCCCATTGTGGTCAGAAATTATGTCTGTCAGTTCAAACCCACGTTGTGGTCAGAAATTCTGTCTGTCATTTGTTCAAACCCCCGTTGTGGTCAGAAATTCTGTCTGTCATTTGTTCAAACCCCCGTTGTGGTCAGAAATTCTGTCTGTCATTTGTTCAAACCCCCGTTGTGGTCAGAAATTCTGTCTGTCATTTGTTCAAACCCCCGTTGTGGTCAGAAATTCTGTCTGTCATTTGTTCAAACCCCCGTTGTGGTCAGAAATTCTGTCTGTCATTTGTTCAAACCCCCGTTGTGGTCAGATATCCTGTCTGTCATTTGTTCAAACCCCCGTTGTGGTCAGAAATCCCAACTGTCATTTGTTCAAACCCCCGTTGTGGTCAGATATCCTGTCTGTCATTTGTTCAAACCCCCGTTGTGGTCAGAAATCCCAACTGTCATTTGTTCAAACCCCCGTTGTGGTCAGATATCCTGTCTGTCATTTGTTCAAACCCCCGTTGTGGTCAGAAATCCTGTCTGTCATTTGTTCAAACCCCCGTTGTGGTCAGAAATCCTGTCTGTCATTTGTTCAAACCCCTGTTGTGGTCAGAAATCCTGTCTGTCATTTGTTCAAACCCCCGTTGTGGTCAGAAATTCTGTCTGTCACTTGTTCAAACCCCCGTTGTGGTCAGAAATCCTGTCTGTCATTTGTTCAAACCCCCATTGTGGTCAGAAATTCTGTCTGTCACTTGTTCAAACCCCCGTTGTGGTCAGAAATTCTGTCTGTCACTTGTTCAAACCCCCATTGTGGTCAGAAATTCTGTCTGTCACTTGTTCAAACCCCCGCTGTGGTCAGAAATCCTTTCTGTCATTTGTTCAAAACCCTGTTGTGGTCATAAATCCTGTCTGTCATTAGTTCAAACCCTGTTGTGGTCAGAAATTCTGTCTGTCACTTGTTCGAAACCCAGTTGTGGTCAGAAATTCTGTCTGTCAGTTCAAACCCCCGTTGTGGTCAGAAATTCTGTCTGTCATTAGTTCAAACCCTCGTTGTGATCAGGAATCTTGTCTGTCAGTTCAAACCCCCACTGAGGTCAGAAATCCTGTCTGTCATTAGTTCAAACCCCCACTGTGGTCAGAAATCCTGTCTGTCGTTTGTTCAAACCCCCGTTGTGGTCAGAAATCCTGTCTGTCATTTGTTCAAACCCCCGTTGTGGTCAGAAATCCTGTCTGTCATTTGTTCAAACCCCCGTTGTGGTCAGAAATCCTGTCTGTCATTTGTTCAAACCCCCATTGTGGTCAGAAATTCTGTCTGTCATTTGTTCAAAACCCCCGTTGTGGTCAGAAATCCTGTCTGTCATTTGTTCAAACCCCCGTTGTGGTCAGAAATCCTGTCTGTCATTTGTTCAAACCCCCGTTGTGGTCAGAAATCCTGTCTGTCATTTGTTCAAACCCCCATTGTGGTCAGAAATTCTGTCTGTCATTTGTTCAAACCCCCGTTGTGGTCAGAAATCCTGTCTGTCATTTGTTCAAACCCCCGTTGTGGTCAGAAATCCTGTCTGTCATTTGTTCAAACCCCCGTTGTGGTCAGAAATCCTGTCTGTCATTTGTTCAAACCCCCGTTGTGGTCAGAAATCCTGTCTGTCATTTGTTCAAACCCCCGTTGTGGTCAGAAATCCTGTCTGTCATTTGTTCAAACCCCCGTTGTGGTCAGAAATCCTGTCTGTCATTTGTTCAAACCCCCGTTGTGGTCAGAAATCCTGTCTGTCATTTGTTCAAACCCCAACTGTCATTGTGGTCAGAAATCCTGTTTGTCATTAGTTCAAACCCCCGTTGTGGTCAGAAATTCTGTCTGTCAGTTCAAACCCCCGTTGTGGTCAGAAATTCTGTCTGTCATTAGTTCAAACCCTCGTTGTGATCAGGAATCTTGTCTGTCAGTTCAAACCCCCACTGAGGTCAGAAATCCTGTCTGTCATTAGTTCAAACCCCCACTGTGGTCAGAAATCCTGTCTGTCGTTTGTTCAAACCCCCGTTGTGGTCAGAAATCCTGTCTGTCATTTGTTCAAACCCCCGTTGTGGTCAGAAATCCTGTCTGTCATTTGTTCAAACCCCCGTTGTGGTCAGAAATCCTGTCTGTCATTTGTTCAAACCCCCATTGTGGTCAGAAATTCTGTCTGTCATTTGTTCAAACCCCCGTTGTGGTCAGAAATCCTGTCTGTCATTTGTTCAAACCCCCGTTGTGGTCAGAAATCCTGTCTGTCATTTGTTCAAACCCCCGTTGTGGTCAGAAATCCTGTCTGTCATTTGTTCAAACCCCCATTGTGGTCAGAAATTCTGTCTGTCATTTGTTCAAACCCCCGTTGTGGTCAGAAATCCTGTCTGTCATTTGTTCAAACCCCCGTTGTGGTCAGAAATCCTGTCTGTCATTTGTTCAAACCCCCGTTGTGGTCAGAAATCCTGTCTGTCATTTGTTCAAACCCCCGTTGTGGTCAGAAATCCTGTCTGTCATTTGTTCAAACCCCCGTTGTGGTCAGAAATCCTGTCTGTCATTTGTTCAAACCCCCGTTGTGGTCAGAAATCCTGTCTGTCATTTGTTCAAAACCCCCGTTGTGGTCAGAAATCCTGTCTGTCATTTGTTCAAACCCCAACTGTCATTGTGGTCAGAAATCCTGTTTGTCATTAGTTCAAACCCCCGTTGTGGTCAGAAATCCTGTCTGTCATTTGTTCAAACCCCCGTTGTGGTCAGAAATCCTGTCTGTCATTTGTTCAAACCCCCGTTGTGGTCAGAAATCCTGTCTGTCATTTGTTCAAACCCCAACTGTCATTGTGGTCAGAAATCCTGTTTGTCATTAGTTCAAACCCTCATTGTGGTCAGAAATCCTGTTTGTCATTAGTTCAAACCCTCATTGTTGTCAGAAATCCTAACTGTCATTTGTTCAAATCCCTACTGCAGCCAGAATCCTTGTTAAATGACTATAGCTCCCATGGCCTCTTCTTTTTTTTCCCCCTCTTTTCTCTTCATTTCCTGTTGCGGGTGTCGGTAGAGGAGACGGTTCTGCTTCTTGCTCTTCCGGGGTCCTTACCTGCATAGGACCGTCTGTTACACCGGGCTGGTGTATCAAATACAGATACCTTAGTTGTAACTTTATTAGAGGTTGAACATGGTATCTGGGATCTGCCCTGTTGGTCTGCCATCCACATTAGGATTTTGGGGTGGTTAAATTTCAGTGTGGTAAACCTTCAGGTGGCATACTAGAGGGAACTAACTAACCAATCAATTGATCAACAGCTCTTCTGGCTGACCTGAACATGAACACATCACACTGTTGTAGATCAAATACCATCACCGGCACTACATCTCAGAAGATCAGCTACAAGAGCAATGCCATGAAAAATATGGACCAACAACATTAAAGACTCTCTAAGTTTCCACGGCATGACAAAAGCCAGTGGCAGCCAACGTGCACTGGATCACAAATTATTCCTTCCCGCGACACTTAACGGCAGAAGTAGTTTATGATGATGATGATTGTTGTAGAGCTTCTATGATGTTATCTTTGCCTTTTGTTCTTGGTCTACCCCAGGCTCTACATCCCTATCCTCTTTTGTCGATTCACAAGGCAACATTCAAGGTTTACCAGGGTTACATTCCTGCAGTGAGCAGCTTAGAAAAAGACCCTACCAGCCTTGTATGGTCTGGTGGCACTGCAACATTCCCTCCAGGGATCTGTGAGTGCCGCTTCATTTCATGCCCAAAAAACTTTAAATATAAATATGAGCATAAATATCAATCTTTCTTAAAAACATCAATATGACTTAATTTCAATATAAAACAACATTATTACTGTAAACATAAGTAGTAAAAAAGTAAAGATCCCTTCTCACGCCTTAGGCGCATCGGGCATATGGGCAGAGCGCCCCATATTTTTTACAGACCAATCGGCACTCGGTGGGTAATGTGGTCAGCATTACGCCGGCCGTCTTTACTTCCCCAGGACAGCCATCCTGGTACCCATTTGAGGCTGGGTCGACCTGCGACGTCCCATACCACTTTAAAAATACACGCAGCCCGCGGTACGTTGGATTACGAGTCAGACTCACAACCCCTTAGTCACGGACTCCGCGTACACATAATTATGACCGCAAATATCAACAACAAACATTAACAGGATTCTAAGCATTAACACAACTCCAAACATAAAGATTACAGTAAATACAAACAAGACAGACAACACAAAAACAATTATAAACAAACAAATCACTCTGCGACAACCATCAGGTTTATGCTTCATGATGTTTACCAGCTGTAAGCTTCACCAGAAAGTTCTATCTGTTCATCCATCTCTGGACTTTGGTGCTGTTTCAGAACTTTAGTTTTGCATACACATCCATTTTACAGATCTGGCGTATTTCTATGCAGACTGTTGGTTCCTCACCTCTCAGGCAGGTTCACTCTGACTCAGAAGGAAAAAAACCATTATTAGTTGCCTTTTATGACATGCTTGCTTGGGGACAGTGAAATTCTTCTTGGGGGTAGTGGAACTATTCTTGGGGGTAGTGGAACTATTCTTCATGCGGGTAGAACTATTCTTGAGGGTAGTGGAACTATTCTTGGGGGCAGTGGAACTATTCTTTACCATGAGTTATGTACAACTACTCTTTATCACAGTGAGTATGTTTTATTTTACCGTGAGTTATGTGCAACTACTTTTCAGGACAGCGAGGAGTATGTTTTACCATGAGTTATGTGCAACTACTTTTTAGGACAGTAAGTTTTACGATGAGTTATGTGCAACTACTTTTCAGGACAGTGAGGAGTATGTTTTACCATGAGTTATGTGCGACCGCTTTTTAGGGCAGTGAGTATGTTGTAAGGTGAGTTATGTGTAACTACTTTTCAGGACAGTTAGTATGTTGTACGGTGCGTTATGTGTAACTACTTTTCAGGACAGTTAGTATGTTGTATGGTGAGTTATGTGTAACTACTTTTCAGGACAGTTAGTACGTTGTACGGTGCGTTATGTGTAACTATTTTTCAGGACAGTGAGTATGATGTATGGTGAGTTATGTGTAATTATTTTTCAGGATTGAGTATGTTTTACGGCGAGTTATATGCAACTGCTTTTCAGGACAGTATGGTTTACGGTAAGTTATGTGCAACTACTTTTCAGGACAGTGAGGAGTATGTTTTACCATGAGTTATGTGCGACCGCTTTTTAGGACAGTGAGTATGTTGTAAGGTGAGTTATGTGTAACAACTTTTCAGGACAGTGAGTAAGTTGTACGGTGAGTTATGTGTAACTACTTTTCAGGACAGTTAGTATGTTGTACAGTGCGTTATGTGTAACTACTTTTCAGGACAGTGAGTAAGTTGTACGGTGAGTTATGTGTAACTACTTTTCAGGACAGTTAGTATGTTGTACGGTGCCTTATGTGTAACTACTTTTCAGGAGTTAGTATGTTGTACGGTGAGTTATGTGTAACTACTTTTCAGCACAGTTAGTATGTTGTACGGTGCGTTATGTGTAACTACTTTTCAGGACAGTTAGTATGTTGTACGGTGCGTTATGTGTAACTACTTTTCAGGACAGTTAGTATGTTGTACGGTGAGTTATGTGTAATTACTTTTCAGGACAGTGAGTATGATGTATGGTGAGTTATGTGTAATTATTTTTCAGGAGTGAGTATGTTTTACGGCGAGTTATATGCAACTGCTTTTCAGGACAGTATGGTTTACGGTGAGTTATGTGCAACTACTTTTCAGGACAGTGAGGAATATGTTTTACGGTGAGTTATGTGCAACTACTTTTTATGATAGTGAGTAAGTTTTACGATAAGTTATGTTCAACTACCTTTTAGGACATTGAGGAGTATGTTTTACGGTGAGTTATTTACAACTGCTTACCAGGACTGTGAATAATATTTAGGGTGATTTATGCTAAGCGTAGAATCACACCTTACCTGCAGCAAAGTCTTCAAAAACAGAACCAGGATACAGTAGGCAATTAAAAAGTTCCACCTAGAAAAATAAGAACCAATGCATTCAATTAAAGGTACATAATTAGGTGTTATGTTAGCTAATCCTATCTTACATAGTTGTAACTTTAGCTCCCTCTATCATAAGTCGTTACTTTAGCTTATTAAATCCTAAGATGTTACTTCGACTAATCGTTGTCTGGGCAAGGAGAAGCTATGATAATGTAACATCAACAGACTGCCCGTATTAAAAAAAATTGTGTTTTATTTTTTAAGTAACTATGTTGATTTATATTAAATATATACATATTTATCATCATGTTGTGTCATATTTATCCTGTAGCGCTCGCATTCAATTTCTTTATTCTATTATATCCTGCCCAATCCTTTTGGGACTGTGTGTGAAGTCTTGTCTGTTGCCTTTGTCCTCTCATTCATTGTAGGATTTCTCTGGGACAATCACACCTTCTCAATACGGCTGTTTCCCATTGCAGTGCCTGTTGTGTGATTCTTTGTCCACCTAGTCTCAGAATGTCACCATCTTTGGATGAGAACAGCTGATAATATGAAAAGAAAGGGGAGCAGAGAAAAAGGAGGAGTTGAAGAAGGAAGAGGCAGGTATAAAGAAAGAAGAGATCAGGTGAGCAACAGAAAAAAAGCTTAAGACAACGATGAAAAAGATGAAGAGAAAGAAAACAGCAGAGGAGGAGGAAGAGGAGGACCACACATCACACACAAAAAGAAATAAGTCTGAAGTTGCACAAAATCTTTCTCTGCAGTTCTGTGACTTGCAGGTTAGTGAAGTCGCTTTACAAGGCAACATTCAAGGTTTACCATGGTTACATTCCTGCGGTGTGCAGTTTAGAAAAAGACTGGCTTTCACACAGTGAAATGAGAACTGCACTATGGAAGAGACTGGAGCCTCACTCACTCACTACATACCATATTTTTAGTGTCTTAAATGCCCTCATGACAACCCCTACTTTTTCGTTTTTTTTTTTTTAAATCCCACCCCATGTACAAGGATAACCCCCCCCCCCCCCTCTTCCCCCCCATTCTTTCCCCCTATTTTAAACTTGAATAAACGTGAGGAAAAATATCGTCTTGTGCATGGAAAAATACGGTAACATCCCCATAGTCACCAGTGGATACATTACAGCCAATTCCACAGTGGAACAGCACAATTTAAAATACATGTCTTTCTAAACCCTCCGTGACATCCCAAGTCCAAACTCACATTCTAAGCAGCTTCCTCAGAGGTTTGACATAAACCTGCTTGCCGAACCACATGAAGATGAAGACAGCCATGACGTAGAAGAAGGAGAAGACATTTATCCGAGTGGCTCCGGTGATGAAGATAATGGCCATGGTCACCCAGTACATGTTCTCAAACACGTTGAACTTGATAGTCTCGATGGCACTTCTGTCAACAGAAGTCAAGTACGTCAGTAAACAACCCTTTGGTGCATCAGGCATATGGTGTGGACCAGTATTTCTTAACATTTTTTTCACCTGCTGCCCACCAAAACAGAGATAACTTTTCCATGGGCCACTTGATAGCTAACTCGATGAAGATGCTTAAAAACAATCCAAGCTGGATTTATCAGGCAAGAATGGATTGAAACATTAGGCACTTCACGAATATCTGCCTTAACCTCATCTCTGTGCCAGGTCATGCGGGTGTTGAAGGGAACGAGCGTGCAGACTATCTTGCTGACACTGCAGATGCTATGGCTGGCCCAGTACTGGACAGAAGTGATGTTATCAATGCACTTACCGTACCGAGCAGCATGCTAAAGGACATGACTCTATATCCCTGTCCAGACTAATGGACATGAAGGTACAGCCTGGAGTTGCAAGAAATTAACACTTCACTAAGAGGACAAGACGTTTCATTAACCAGCACAGAACAGGCGTCATCAGTCGTTTTACACTTGTGGAGCTTTTGAGGGGGAGATCGGAGCACCTATGGATCTGTCCGATGCTGTGATGATAATCCTTTCTAATCACTAATCACTAATAGCTAACCAAACACGTATGCACGTGGTTCAACCCCACTAGGACCATACAATGAGCGAACAACACTCAGTGACACAAAGTGCCATCGTTCAGATGAGGATCACCCTGGCACAAGTCCCAGAAAACCCATTCAACCCTAAGGTTATATTAAAGCCACCTACAACAGCCAGGGTAAGGGCTTTTAAAAAATAAAGAAAAAATTGCGTCCCACATTGCGAATGCTCTAAAATTACTAGCCAAAAAACAGCAACAACAACAAATGGAGATAGCAGTTTACACGTTAAATCCGATGTCACAAAGTTACAATTTTTGGCTTATGTGACATTTTGGTTTGGTTTAGTTTGGTTTATTCAACGGATCAACGTCATGCTACACGGGTGTAACCCATAGGTGCTCTGTTTTACTTCTACCTCAAGTTAAGAGTTTGAAGCAGCTCAGCCAAGTGCACAAACTCTGTTGCACCGCTGAGGATCCTGAAATACTTTGGGCAGATTTTAAACTCCAAATTTAGCACAGGCAGTGCCATTAAGCTACTATTTTCTATTTCCAACAGCCAAGGGATTTTTTAGGTGCGCAACAATACACATGGGCGTCCGATCTTACTACCCAGAGACCAGGGGAAATTACTAGAAAATGGTTAGAAAATCTGATATACACCTGGCTGTCTGATCGCTTGATAACTCAGACATGGATATTCCTTACTGAGCGATATCAAAAATTTCAGACAATGATTGCCTTTTACGTGTGGTCACAAGACTGACATCCGACAACAAACTCAATCAATTTTGTTTAATGATCATCACAGTTTTCAGCTAACATCTTCAAATGCTGAATATCATTTCTACCGGTTTGATTCTCATCCTTGAGGTGCTCATCCTACAGACTGCAATCCTGAATAATAAAGAAAAAAAAACTAACTTCACACCTGCAAGTCCTATACCATCTTCTTATCTGCCAGAATATTACAGTTACCTCCCCCACCACAGCTGAGTATCAGACAGACAGACAGAAAGACAGACAGACAGGCAGGCAGGAAGGCAGGCAGACAGACAGAAAGACAGACAGACAGGCAGGCAGGCAGACAGGCAGGCAGGCAGACAGACAGACAGACAGACAGACAGACAGAGGCAAACAATACTTCACTTCTGCTCCAGAGTAAAATCCTTGTAAGGAATGGGCAGGTTCATCTCCACATCTTCTAGTATGTCAGCATTGTCTCCCCCACCATAATCCTCCATGGATTCGTACTTGGACTCGATGTTGAACACAAATGCTTGCAGGCTGACAAAGAGCAGCTGAGCATAATCCACTGCCACAGAACGATCACAAGGCGTTACAATAAAAGTCATTCTTTAAGACTCACAGTGTGCAAGTTAGATTGGACCACAAACACCTGAGCACAGTCTACAGCATCAACAATAGGACTACAAAATAAGTTATGGGACAACAAATATATTAAAGATGCCAACAACAGATCAAGTAGCTGTCAGGCTAAAGAACAAATCAATAAAAATAATGGACTATTTCACATATTTGGGTAGCAATTTTGACTCTCAAGGAGATACAGTAAATGATATTATGCACACATTGGTAAAGCAACAAGCTATAATATGGAGCTCCAAGTTATACAGCATTGAGACTTGCACACTGTTGGCCAGAAAGGATGACTTTTACTTTAACCGACTTGTGATCATTCTCTAGCCTACTACTTGAAAATTATGAAGAGAAACGTGACCTCAAGAGCAAAGTGTGCAGAACAAGCTATGGGGAACCAAGAAGGACCTGCAGCTGACATGGGAGTTCATAGAGGCAGCCCATCTGATGGTCTGACCTGAGCATACAAAACCAAACGACAAGAAGAAGACGAAGCTATCAGGTAGATTAGGTATATGATGCTTGGATTGTACCATTTTGAATAAACATCAACATTATCAATTTCCACTTCCGCAGTTAAGCGTTGTGGGGAAGATCAGTTTGTGATCCACTGCTTGATGGGCAGTAACAGCTGTTGGCATTTTGTAGAAGCTCTTTGAGGTCATCAATCCATTTTCTCCCAGGGCCTCTTGCTTTTACTTCAGATCTTCTCGTGTGCAGCGCCTGCGTTGGTACTTGTTCTGGCAGCATTCTTACTACATGACCAAACCATCTTCTTTTTCTCAATGAATTTGCTGCACTGTATTATTTCTACAGCCTGTCTGACATTATTATTTCTAACTGTGTCTCGGATGGTTAAGTTGGCGGCTTTTCTCAGGCATAGCATTTCACATGTGGTAATTTTACATAGGGTAGCCTTTGATAATGTCCATGTCTGGCACTGGTAGCACAGTGTTGGTATGAATATGCTGTTTATAATCTGCTGTTTGTGACTAAGTAGCTGAAATGGCAGAGAGGCTAGGATACTTGTTATAGCCTAGCCTAAATTTCTTATTCTTCACATTCACCAGCCTTAAACTCCGGTGAAAAGTTCTGCTTGTTCATACGCTTCTGGATTTTGGTCTGTTTCCAGTATCTGAGTTGTGTGCAAATCTGTTTTACAGAGTTGGCTCATCTGTGTGCAGACTGTTGGTTCCCTGCCTAAAAAAATTACTCTGAGGAAACATTAATCTTCTCTATTCTGGTTTCCCTGGGTGGGTTCTGAGGCCTCACTGTGAGGAAAACAACACACCCACTGCCTTTCCAAAACAAAAACAAACAAACAAAAGCATGCTGTATGAGTCAACTATTTGGGGGATTCCTTCAAAGTCAGAGTGCATCTGCCAGAGAGTCAAAGAACCAACATTCTGCATACCCAAAAAAAAAAAAAGCCAGATCTGTAAATAGGATGTGCACACAACACTCAGGTTCTGGAAAAAAGCAGGTGGATGAACAAGAAGAACTTTTCATTGGAGTTTAAAGCCAGTTCTGCCTGTTCAAGCAATTTCTGCTTGTTCACCCATCTCTGGATCTTAGCCTTCTTCCAGAATCTGAGTGTTCTGTGCACATCTGTTTTACAGATCTAGCATATCTGTATGCAGCAGATTTGTTTGCAGAGTCTTGGTTCATTGCCTCTCAGGAAGATGCACTCCAATGTAGAAGGAAGCCCCCAATTAGTTGACTCCTAAGACATGCTTGTTGTGGAGGCAGTGGGTCTAGTATTGTTTTAACCCCAGTGGGGTCCTGGAACCCACAAGGGGAAAGGTGATTATTATATTACATAACATTAATCACTGTGTTGATCTGGTGTATAACTCTTTGAGTCCCAGGGGGTTTAGCATCACAGGCCCAGGTGGTAGTGAAGAAAGTAATAAAATTGGCGCATCATGCGTTCACTGGGCTTCTAGGTAGGAACCTATGAACGTATGATGCGTTTCTTGAGTTAAAAGACTTGCACTATAGGGTTTTCTGGGTTTGCTCCCTTGAGTGGGTACCGGGTGCAGTCCTGGGAAGAGAAGATGGCTGGCGTGATGCTGACCACATCATCCGTCTTGTGCCGATTGGTCTATAAAGTATAGGTCTAGCGATTGGTCTATAAAGTATAGGTCTAGTGATTGGTCTATAGAGTATAGGTCTAGCGATTGGTCTATAAAGTATAGGTCTAGTGATTGGTCTATAGAGTATAGGTCTAGCGATTGGTCTATAAAGTATAGGTCTAGTGATTGGTCTATAGAGTATAGGTCTAGCGATTGGTCTATAAAGTATAGGTCTAGTGATTGGTCTATAGAGTATAGGTCTAGCGATTGGTCTAGTGATTGGTCTATAGAGTATAGGTCTAGCGATTGGTCTATAAAATATATGTCTAACGACTGGTCTATAAAATATAGGTCTAGCGATTGGTCTATAGAATATAGATCTATCGATTGGTCTATAAAATATAGGTCTAGCGATTGGTCTATAGAATATAGATCTAGCGATTGGTCTATAAAATATAGGTCTAGTGATTGGTCTATAAAATATAGGTCTAGCCCTATACACCCAAAGACATGGAAAAGGGTCCTTTACTATAAGGTTTATAAATATATAGGGCCAAACACAGAATATGAATAATAACTGGAGTGTTTAGTAAAACAATTAACAGGCCCAGCTGAACCAAAGTTTCATTATAAAACAGATGGCACAATTGCACGAAAGTTTCATTACAAAAACAGATAACAGACCAACCGATTATGTAACCACATGTACACAAAATTTAAGATAGGTGTATCAGCCATGTGCACATGTGGAAAGGTGCCCCAGACAGCAGAGCATGTACTCCAGGACTTTTACACATTAAGGCAAACCTTTTGGCCAGAAAGTACAACAGTGGAACGTAAACTTTATGGACCACTGAATGAATTAACAAAAACAGCTAAATTTATACAAGAAACAAAATTGCTGATATAGACAACTTATTTCAGGTGAACGAAAGAAGAAGAAGAAGATAACAGACAAATGTATTTATACAGAACAATGTGTAAAACAATATACACACAAGTAGGTATAGCTGAACACAACTTTAGCTTCAAAATAGGCAATATAGAAAAAAAAAGCATAATCTAAACATCTTTTTTAAAGTATAGAAAATAATATCACAAATAAATAAGTGCAGCTAAGCCAAACAAATGTTTAGTTACAAAAGAGATAACAGAGGGAAAAAATAATAATGTGAGAAAAGTTTTTCAAAATTAAGTTACACACAACGATGCATAAACAATAATTGAATTATAAATGAAACAACATGGAAAAAGTATCATTCAAGGATAGTTAAACAAAACTAATACCATAAAAAGCCGGCATGATGCTGACCATATCACCCATCTTGTGCCGATTGGTCTATAAAAATATAGGTCTAGCCCTATATGCCCTTTACGCCTAAAGGCATGGAAAAGGGTCCTTTACTTTTTTTTTTTAATACCATAAAAATGAAGAGCTAAACAAAGGTTTAGCTACCAAAAACCTAACAAATTGAAAAAAAAATAATAATTTAAGAAAAGTTTAGCAGAATAATGGTACTCAGAAAAATGAACAGTAAAACAAAGGTTTAGTTACAAAAGAGACACACATTAAAAAAAGGATAATTTAAGGAAAGTTTAACAAAACAATGATACAAATAAATATTCACAGTTAAACAATGGAGAAGGGAACAGAGAGTGAAGTTAAACAGATAGGGAGAACAGGAGGTATGCAGCATGCAATAGCAAAGGATGTGATGACTGGACGTGAGTTGGTTGAGGGCCTATGCTCCACTGAGGAATAGAGGGCAGCAGAAAAAGAAAACAAAAGTTCAGTTAGAAAAGAGGAAACATAGAATAAAAACACATTGTAAAGAAACTTTAGTAAACACAACAACATACACAGATACGTAAAACTGCATGGAGCTTCAGATGCCTATAATAAACAAACCTATAAGTTTATTGGACTTCGGACGATCGTAGTACGCAGGCAAATACAGCCAGTGTCTAAGATTTTTGGAGATACCTGTGTCCTCTGACCAGGGGTAGCCTGCAACATATTACAGACAGGCCATATGTCAATACAAGCCACGTAAAGGGTACTAGTAGGTACAGGCTTCACCAAGCTCTACTCCCAGGTCAAACAACTGTGTTAGCATCAGAAATTCACCAACATCCACTAGCATAGTTTATACAGCGTTGATAATATCAGCTTTGTCCGTTATTCTTCCTGTATGCAATGCTGCACTGCTTGCCAGCTGGTCTGTTTGTTCATTTTAATTTGCTTCGGTAAGCCCAGGTGTGTATATCCTGGTGATGGAGGTTCCCTTTTCTTACAAATAATGTACGATGTGTAAGAGACTGTTCAAGTGTCTTCTAGCATACACATTTTGGTCAGTGTATATTAAACAAATCTGGCAACCACAGGGGTATCTTTCATTCTTACAGCACAGCAAATGGCAACAGTTTTTGTGGCAATATGTAATGAAAGATATAATGATTTCTGTATAAAACATTCTGGTAATGAAAGAGTTTAGTTTCATTTGTGGGTGTGTCAGAGGTCTCTAAGGTTCACTGGTCAAGAATCCATTTCCATGTCGTGAGGTTGCTGAGTATATGGTGTCAGTCCCATATTTCTGTAGACCAGAGCTATTTAAGTGGTGGCCCACAGGACAAATCCGGCCCGCAAAGGCCCAGCAAGTGGCCTGCTCATCATTACCAGCTTTACTGTATTAGTTCTCTGCCTATGCTGGGGCAGGAATGTGGTCCAAGATGATCTCCATTTTCAATATTTTGGCCCCTGGGTGCCTTAGCTGAATTGCCCTGCTGTAGATCAACTAGTACTCAGTGGATGTTAATGCAGTATTATACCAGCCACCTTTACTTCTTAGGGCAATTCCTGGTACACATGTTATCCCAGGTCAAGGTGCAAATTACAGGCTCATAAACAGCACCTTTTTTCAGTTACAGTCTCTAATAAATACCAGTTGTTGCGCCAGTTAGCTGGAGAAGTGAGCACTGAAGTCTGCTGAGATCAGATCAAGGAATCTGGAATGAATCTTTTGTAGAAGTTCTTGGTAAGAAAGAACAGAAACATAAAGCATGGACAACATCAAAAACCATTAATATAAAAGAAGAAAGTAAAAGTAAAAAGGGAGACTTGTTCAGTAGCAAAACAAGAGCTGCTACAGCTCAGGAAAAATACACAGAAGCTAATATGAAAGTTAGGAGGCAAATAAAGGCAGATAGAAGGAAATATTTAGATGACCTAGCACAAGAAGTGGAGACACCGGCAGCAGCAAAAGGAAACCTCAAGAGACCTTTACAGTACCACAAAAAAATTAGTAGGTTATTATAGTCAGCCAACTGGATCAATAAAAAATACTCACTAACACTAAAAATCAAATGGACAGATGGGCTGAATATAGAATACTTCTAAACAGACCAGCTCCAGAGGTTTCTCAAGATACTCAGCTTTTAGAAATGGAACTGGATATCAACTGTGAGATACCATCTAAAGAGGAAATTTACAAATAAGCCAGCTCATTAAAATGCACATGCACACAGAACTCAAGTACTGAAATAAGACTAATGTCCAGAAGTGGACAAGAACCCAAAGAACTTACTGCAGGAGTTTACAGCCTGTGAACATCAAGAAGAAGAAAAAAATGATATATATCTTTTTTTTTTTTTTATCAAAACTGAATTAGAATCCCACGGTTTTCTTCTTCTCTTCATCCCGTTTCTTCAACTAATAAAGATGTGTTCTTAAGCTGTATGTGAAAAAGTCTAAACCTTTATGTGAAAAAGTCTACAGCTCTATCTGCAAAAATGTAAAGCTCTATGTGAAAAAGTCTAAAGTTCTATCTGCAAAAATGTAAAGCTCTATGTAAAAAGGCCTAAAGTTCTATCTGCAAAAATGTAAAGCTCTATATGAAAAAGTCTGAAGTTCTATGTTAAAAAGTCAATTTCCCTATATTTCTCTCAGAAATCCGAGGTTATGGGCCCTAACACCCCGCAGCTCCTGCCTTGCTCTCCCAGGATTCCATGAGGAAAGAGGTTTAAATACTCACGGATGCAGGAGCCTTTGGGAAAACCTAAGACCAGCAAGAACTCCACAGCCAAAATCAGTGACAGGGTGAGCTTGTAGAGGACCCACAGTTTGGCAACTGTGCGGCGAGACAGCATCAGCAGCACCGCAACGATGAAGATGTAGATCACAGCGATAAAGTCCACTCGAAACATGACCACAATGGCTGTCATGATGTAGCAGCACTGAAGTAAACAGAGCAGACGCAGTAGCTCATCACCGGACAACACAGTCAACACAGACAATGACTGTGAACACAGACAATCATAGTGAATACAAACAATTAGAGTGAACACAGACAATCATAGTGACACAGACTATTATCATGACTACAATTATTGTGAACACAAACAACTATCATGAATACAATTATTGTGAAAACAGACAATTATCATGAATACAATTATAGTGAATACAGACAATTATCATGTACACAGTTATTGTGAAAACAGACAATCATGAACACAATTACAGTAAACACAGACAACTATCATGAAGACAACTACTGTGAACACAGACAATGACACTGAACACAGATAATTATTGTGGACACAGACAATGCCAATGAACACAGACAATTATAGTGAACAAAGACAAATATAGTGAACACAGACAAGTATAGCGATCACAGACAATTATCATGAATACAAATATTGTAAACACAGACAATGACACTAAACATGGACAATTATTGTGGACATAGACAATGCCAGTGAAGACAGACAATTATAGTGAATACAGACAGTTATAGTTAATGCACACAATTATTGTGAATATAATTACAGGGAAAACACACAATTACCGTGAACACAAACATTAATTGTAAATACAAACAATTATAGTTAATACATGTGACAAGCTGGTCTGGACAACTGTTTCTTCGCTTTTAATTATTGCTTTGTATAGCAATATTATTCAGTTTCTTACCTTTTAAATACTGCTTTGTGTTAGCAATATCATTAAAATTCTTACCTTTTACTTATTGCTTCACTATAGCAATATTATTAATTAATAAGTGGAAAATGGGTGAATGACAATCTGTAGGATTCACTTAGAGTTAGCTACCCTTTTAGCACTTCCTAGTACTTCCTACTTCCTTTTTCAAACAGAGACATACGGTTGAGGAAGGAAACAGACATTTTCATTTTTCCTCCTCAACTGACTAAGTACATACTAAAGTTGGTAGTCAGTACCTTAGTCTAATTGTGTTTGAATTCCCTAACAGGGGCTCCAGGTGGAAGGTTCAGAATGCCAGGTGGAAGTTCCAAAATACCAGGTGGAAGGTCCAGAATACCAGGTGGAAGTTCCAGAATGCCAGGTGGAAGGTCCAGAATACCAGGTGGAAGTTCCCCAATGCCAGGAGGAAGGTCCAGAATACCAGGTGGAAGTTCCACAATGCCAGGTGGAAGGTCCAGAATGCCAGGTGGAAGTTCCAGAATGCCAGGTGGAAGGTCCAGAATGCCAGATGGAATGTCCAGCATACCAGGTGGAAGTTCCAGAATGCCAGGTGGAAGTTCCAGAATGCCAGGTGGAAGTTCCAGAATGCCAGGTGGAAGGTCCAGAATGCCAGGTGGAAGGTCCAGAATGCCAGGTGGAAGGTCCAGAATACCAGGTGGAAGGTCCAAAATGCCAGGTGGAAGGTCCAAAATGCCAGGTGGAAGGTCCAAAATGCCAGGTGGAAGGTCCAGAATACCAGGTGGATGTTCCCCAATGCCAGGTGGAAGGTCCAGAATACCAGGTGGAAGTTCCACAATGCCAGGTAGAAGGTCCAGAATGCCAGGTGGAAGTTCCACAATGCCAGGTGGAAGGTCCAGAATACCAGGTGGAAGTTCCACAATGCCAGGTGGAAGTTCCAGAATGCTAGATGGAAGTTCCACAATGCCAGGTGAAAGGTCCAGAATGCCAGGTGGAAGGTCCAGAATACCAGGTGGAAGGTCCAAAATGCCAGGTGGAAGGTCCAAAATGCCAGGTGGAAGGTCCACAATGCCAGGTGGAAGATCCAGCATAGCTGCAGGTGGCCTCTTGTCTAGACTGGACTAGAAGATTCGACCTGCCTGAAGTGTCTGCAGGTGCCCTCTTGTCTAGACTGGACTAAAAGATTCGACCTGCCTGAATTGTCTGCAGGTGCCCTCTTGTCTAGACTGGACTAGAAGATTTGACCTGCCTGAATTGTCTGCAGGTGCCCTCTTGTCTAGACTGGACTAGAAGATTCAACCTGCCTGAAGTGTCTGCAGGTGGCCTCTTGTTTAGACTGGACTAGAAGATTCGACCTGCCTGAAGTGTTTGCAGGTGCCCTCTTGTCTAGACTGGACTAGAAGATTCGACCTGCCTGAAGTGTTTCCAAGGCTAATAGCCAGAAGCTGACCCAAGGAGCACAAACAACAGATGAGTGGACATATCAATCCACTATGTCAAATATAAGTCAGTATCCCCCCCACCCCCCCCCCCCCAAAAGTCCCATTATTTAACTTCCAATTGAAATAAACGATTGATTTAATGTTGTTCCAGTCTTGTGGAGTTTATTTTAACAGTGTATGTCAGTGAGCAAGAGCTGGTATATTTAAATTTACAATTTATTAACAGTTAGGAATCAGATTTTGGCAAACCCCAAATCCTCTCCTTTAACCAGCAAGGCTGGGAGAAAAATAATCGTTTACGATGTTTCACTGTTTGCGATTCCCTCTGTAGATTGCACGTTGTGCATTCGCTAGATTAAAGTTAATTATTCTGCCACAGTACAAACAATTATTGTGAAGACAAACAATTATAGTAAATACAAACAATTACAGTGAATGACAAACAATTACAGTGAACACCGAAAATTATTGTGAAGACAAATAATTATCCTGAACACAGACAGTTATTGTAAACACAGACAATTATAGTGAACAGAGACAATTATTGTGAACACAATTATAGTGAACACAAACAATTATAGTGAACACAGACAATTATAGTGAACACAGACAATGACAGTAAACACATTCAGCACAAAAATCCTGAAAAGTACAAACTCACTTCAAGGCCAAACTTGTAGAAAAAATAATTTGCGAAGTACTTGATACAAGAGACCACATTTTTATCTGCATCAAAACGTCTGATTTTAGGAAAGAGGATCCCCTTCTTAGGCCTGCGGACTCCAGGCTTAGCATAATACTGCTTTTGATGGTAGCGGATGATGCTGTCAAATACAATCAGGGCCACGACCAGCATGTACAGCTATGGAGAACAGCAAGAAAATAATCACTCAACCATCAGACAATTGGGACCATGCTCTTACTCACTAAGTCTGGCCCAAAGTTTGTGTACGCCAAGTTGAGATGAGCCCTCACAGTCCCTCGGAAAATTCCCATAGGCCAGTGTTTCCCAAACATTTCTCAGTGGCAGCACCTTTTTTCAGTTAACATTCTTCTACGGCGCTCTAACCTAAGTAAAACTATGTAAGAGATTTAAAAAAAATAAAACTAGTGTTTCTTCGAATATTTCGTGGCAATCTGTGAAGAGGTAGTGGCTCCCTGAGGCGCCACGGCGCACAGTTTGGGAATCACTGTCATGAGCAATCCATCCCCATCTTCAGAGCCAGCGAAGAGATCCGACTCCAATGGGACCAGCAGAAGAATGACGGTATGTCCGTGCTGCTTTTTTTTTTTTTTTTTAAATCTCAGGGTGTTATGTGCTGGCCGGATCTCCTTGTCATTGACAGTTGCATCACTCCCCAAAAGGGTGTGGACCACATCAAGCTTGTCATGCATCATTTCTCCACCAGGTGTTAGAGAAACAGCCAATCTGTTTTCCCATTTATTTCCCAAAACAACTGCGTTTCTGGGGAAAAATAATATTCAAAGAAAGCCAACTATCCAAGACCTTTGAAAACAATACTTGCCACTCTGTGTGGAACATGCCAGTCTCTACTTTTCTCAGAAAGTTTTGTGAGTCTGTTACAATCACCACATATGTGTGCAGTTGGTTCACAAGCCAACAGAAAGCTTCAGTGACTGCCTCAACCTCCATTCTCAAACTAGATGCCCAAGCTGGTTTGCACTGTGTACTACAGATTCAGAAAATGGCGAGTGGTCAGCTGCCAAAGAAGTGATGGTACAAAGTCTACCCCCCTGACTTATGACCAGGTTCTGTTCTGACTAACAGGTCATGTCAATTGGTTGTAAGTTGAATTTATATATTTTCCAGCACTATTTTCATTCAAATGTGTTATAAATACTGCAAATAAAACACAAAAATTATTTCTATGTATATATAATTATTTTACAGAATATGAAAAATAAATATGTACTCCAATGTTTCCTGCAACTTTTTTAACCCTATCAATGTAGTTATTCTTCGTTTTATACTATTTGTATTTATTTACTTTTGTAGTCATTAAGTGCGGATGGTCGTAAGTTGCAAGTTGAGGAGAAGGTGTACTTTATTCTTGCTACGGATCCTGAGTATTGCTTGTAAATATTTTACGCACGTGGCTTATTGGTGTGAACACTCGGCTCTCCGGCGGATGTGTTCCAACTTCAAAGAAATCATCAGTTTTATGTACAGAGGCCAAGTCCTGGATAGACAGCCTGTTTCTAGTACGGCCATGGAGAGGCATAGACAGATCATAAACAGTATCAGCCCTGGCATAAGCGCACCGCCGCAGATGGTGGTTCGTATCTCATCAAAATCTGCTTGTGCCATCACACATCACATTGAGAAACTACTCTCCCCGAGTGGGTCCCAGGACCCCGTTGTTAGGAAAACAAGAATAGACCCACTGCCTTGTCAACAAGCATTTCGTAGGAGTCAACTAATTGGGGACTTCCTTCGAAGTTGGAGTGTATCTGCCCGAACAAATAAGCCAGTAAAAAGGATCTACACACAAAACATAGGCACGGCACAAAGCCAAAGTCTGAATGGATGAACAAACAAGACCTGCTGCCAGAGCTTACAGCCGGTGAACAAAGAAGAAGAAGAAGAGAAACTATTCTTCTATTTTGCTCTATCCTGCGCAACTGTTTCAATATCATGGATTGAACCCAGCCCAGCAACTTTGGCCTTCTCTTATCAACATTCATTTCAAGATTTATTTTGGACCTTTTTCCTGTCAATTTGTTTTTCATTAATCCCTTCACCCTGAGAACTCTAAAAGTAAATAGGTCATGATCCTGTTAGGTTTTTTAAAAAAATCAGCAAAAACAACTTTTGTACAGGTCAATATTTTAAAATAACTTTAAAAAAAATTTAAAGGTATATGAAAGCAGTAATCAATATAAACAAGAGCGGGGCGAAGCATTAAACTGAATACATCCCCTGGGGCATAAAACACTAACAGGTATCAGGCGAGTCATGCCATGACCCTATGACCTTTAACACTGAGGCTCACGAGAAAATATAATGTCATCTAGTCTTTAAAAAAGCCTTTAGCACAAAGGCTAAATGCCATTGTCAGATAACTTATTCGTATCCGGATCTCCTAAATATTTACAGAAGCGCAAACTCAGCATCTCATAAACAAATCACAATAGGCAAGTCAGAAAAATGACATTTATGGAGAGCTAGACCCGACTGGAACTGTCAGTTTTTCAGCTTCTCGGGGTGAAAAAGTTAACTCTTTCGGTACCACAAGGTTTCACAGGAGATGTCAGAGCCAAGAAGTGACCATGGAGCAAAATCATTAACTGTCACAGCAGCAATTTAAAATGAAAGTGAAGAATCCCTTTTCCACACCTTCAGGTGTATCGGACATATAGGGCAAGAACTACATTTGATAGACCAATCAGCACTTGGTGGGTGATGTGGTCAGTATCACGCTGACCTTTTTCCCCCCAGGACTGCACCTGGTACCAACTCAAGGCTGGATAGACCTGGAAGCCAAGGTCCTTTTTTTTTTTTTTTTTCAAGTGCGGCTTCGCCAGGACCCTAATCCATGACCTTCCAATCCACAGGCAAGCACCAGGCCACTACAAAGTAGCAATATAAGTTACAAAAAAGTACAGACCCCTTTTCCACGCCTTTAGGCGTATAGGGCATATAGGGCTAGACCTATATTTTTATAGACCAATCAGCACAAGATGGGTGATGTGGTCAGCATCACGCCGGCCGCCTTTACTTTCCTGGGACTGCACCCGGTACCCACTCAAGGCTGGGTCGACCTGTGAGCCAAGGTCATTTTTGAAATAAGTCCGGCTCCGCCAGGGAGCGAACCCACAACCTTCCGATCCGCGGTGAGCGTCTAGCCGCTCGGCCACGGCGACTCCCAAAGTAACAATATACACAATGGTAATTATTGGCTGGGAAGCCAGATTTCTTTAATACCTTACCACTAAATGTTGTAAGTAAGCGAACACAATACGGTGTGGTGGAAAATCAAGGAAGAGTCACTCGCATAACAGGTGGTGCTTGGAATCAAAAGAGTTAGGTTCCTTTTTGGTGTTTTTCTTTCCGACTCTCCTCAGGAAGTGGTTACTACATCACACCTTTGTTGTCCTAAAAGTGTTGCTACTTGTGGTTGTCCAGACACTTCTCTTATTACTTTGTCTTTCTTGAATTAATTCTATTTAACTTTCATCAATTCCTTCAACTCAGCATTGCTTTGAACATGATCCGGCGGGTAGAGGCAGGCTGGTTACGCAGACAGTGGCTTCAGTCGTTGCAAAATTCTCCTGTGTGTGCAGTTACTTTCATATTCGTCCCAGGGCATGCAGGCGTTGTTGGTAATGAGAGAGCTGATAGACTGGCAGGTGCTGCATTAATTGAGGATGGCTGCCCCATGGATCACGCAGACATTGTCATTGCCCTTAAAGAGATAGGACGTTCTGAGGATTTTGAAAGCAACGTGTCCACATCACTGCTAAGAATACATGAATTGGGAGTAAACATCGGCACAGCCAAGCATGAGAAGCACACTGGACGCACATGAAGTCTTGTTAACCAACACAGGACTGGTACTATTAACCGCACGACACTGATGAATATGTTGAGAGGGGAATCTGAACGTCTATGGATGTGTCCGGAGTGCTGTGAAGATAATCTATCTCATAACTCATTGCAAAAGAAGAAAGAAGTAAAGGACCCTTGTCTCTGCCTTCACACATTCTGGGCAGACAGAGCTAGACCTATATTTTATTGACCAATCAGCATTCGGTGGGTGATCTTGTCACCCACCTTTACTACCCAGGAATTTACCTGATACCCATTTGAGGTTGGGCTGACCTAAATTCCAAGGTCATTTTTTTTTTTTAAAAGGTTAGCTCCATTTGGATTTGAACTCTTGACCTTTGGATCTGCAGCGAGCACCTAGCTGCTACATCAAGAAGGTTAAAGAAAAAAAAATCAATAAAATAACATCTTGTCAGTGTTAAGCCAGTTCTTACCCTTAAAAATAGGGGGCTGTGTGGTCTCGAGGCATGGTGTCCGCCTTGAGTGCTAGAGGTTCCGGGTTCAATCCCCGGTGAGGACTGGGATTTTTCAGGTAGACTTGGACTTTAGTAATTCCCCCTGTTCTCTGGGTAGTGAGATCGGACGCCTGTGTCCATTGTTGCGCACGAAAAGTCCCTTGGCAGTTGGAAATAGAAAAGAGTAGTCTAACGGCGCTGCCCGGGCAAAATTTGGAGTTAAAAATCTACCCAAAGTATTTCAGGATCCTTGCTGGTGCTACAGAGCCTGTGCACTGTGCTCAGCTTCTTCAGACTCGGACTTGAGTTAGAAGAAGAACGGAGCATTCATGGGTTACACCCGTGTGCCATGATGTTGATCAGTTGTTCAAAACTTCAAACTTACCCCCAAATAACGGTGGACGGACATGACCTCAGGTTTATATGTCTTAAAGCCAAGCCAAGCTGAATTTTCCTTTAGGTTGAGTTTCACACTCTCGTTTCCCCAGTACTGGAGTGATCAAAGGCAAATTCACAGATTACCCAGTGTAAAAAAAATCAGGTTAAAAAAAATCAAATTAGATAAGTGGAAGATGATAATGATGATGATGGTGGTGATGATGATGGTGGTGATGGTGGTGGTGGTGATGATGATGGCAATGATTATGATGATGGCAATGATGACAATGATGAAGATGATGGTGATGATGAAGATGATGATAATGATGATGATGATAGTAGTGGCGATTATGACAATGATTATGATGATGATGATGATTGCAATGATGACAATGATGAAGATGATGGTGATGAAGATTATGATGATGATGGTGGTGGTTATGATGGTAGTGATGGTGATTATGGCAATGATTATGATGATGAAGATGATGGTGATGATGAAGATGATGATGATGAAGATAACTGTGATGATGAAGATGATGGTGATGATGAAGATGATAGTGATGATGACAATGATGAAGTTGATGAGGATGATGAAGATGTTGATGATGAAGATAACTCTGATGATGAAGATGATGGTGATAATGATGTAAATGGTGAAGATGATGACAACAGTGATCATAATGATAATGATGATCACGAACATGATGGTGATGATGAAGACAATGATAATGAATTACTCACAAATGTAAGATGATGATTATTAATCTCTCTCTTCTTCTTTCATCATTAACCAGCTGTAAACCTCTAGTTCTAGTTGTTCGACCACCTCTGGGTTTTAGTCTTGCTGAGTATTGTGTGCACATTTATTTTACAGATCTGACTTATGCATATGCAGACTGTTGATTCCTTACCTCTCAGGCAGATGTCCTCCAACTTCGAAGGAAGCCCCCCAGTTAGATTAATCTTACAACATGCTTGTTGTTGAGGCAGCGGGTCTATTCTTGTTTTTCTCAAAATAGAGTCCCAGAACCGACAAAGGGAACATGATTATCAAATGACCGACAACACTTTGCTAATGCAGTTTCCACATACAGACGGTAGGTAGTCTACGGTTTCATGGCCTGAGCTGCTGAGTTTAGTGTCTGGTGCAGCCGGGTGAGCTGTGTTTTTCCTCTTCCTTTGTGCAGCAGTTGTGTCCTGGTATTCAATATGGCTAGTAGCCGGTTTACTTGTGAGCTGGTGAAATACCTTGTGTGGTTGTTCTACATGTGTATAGCCAACTTATCGTACCTAAACTTCCATCAACAACAAACTGCATTTCTGGTGACGACTGTTGGTTTTGGTGCCTCTAGCAACTGTCATTATACTGCGCATATTTTTGGATTGTTCCAGGACTTATTGTTTGTTCACAAGCTTTTCACATGAAACAGTGAGGGACATTCGATTTTTACTGGCACCAGCACGGAGCAAGTACGGGAAACCCGACTGCAGTACAGCCCAAACCTCGACTAAGACTAAGACAGATGATGATGGTTGTATGATGATGATGATGATGATAACGGTGGTGCTGATGCCAATGAGGATGATTATGACAATGATGATGATGATGACAATGATGTTGAGTGACTCACACAGGTAGTCGACCAGAAATAAGGATCAGTGATGTTTAACTCAAACACCATCTTGACGAGAATAATCACCGCAGTCCACAACAGCAGCAGCTGTCCTAGAAGTCTGCTCGTGTGTGGAATCGGCATCAACAGTGCTATCAGGAATACATAGACTGCAGTCAGGGCGGAAACCTAGGTTTGGAGGGAAAAGAAGTAAAAGGAAATCTACATCTGAGAATACTGTGAGCCTAGAGACAGGAATACAGTAAACTTGTAGTGGGGAATAATAATTAGTTACGTGGCCCTGCCAGCAAGCCAATCCTGCTCGTTCATTCCCTCTTACCCCAGAGTGTCCTGGCACAAAAATGAAACTAATTACTATCAGACAAGATTTAAAAATACAGCCAGTGACTCCAACTATTTTCTTTGAATCCATCCTGTCTGTTGTCTTCTTAAACATGCTCATGGAATCACTTAGAAAGCACACATGAACAGAATTTGTGCACTGTTTATAGTTAGTGTGATGCAAAAGTTACAAATGGTATATACACACAAAAATAACACTGTAGAGAAAACAGACACAAGGGAATATATAATTTGGAATACAGTAACCCTAGATATGGGAGTTGGGTGAACTTGTAGTTGGGAATACAGGAACCCTAGATATGGGAGTTGGGTGAACTTGTAGTTGGGAATACAGTAACCCTAGATATGGGAGTTGAGTGAACTTGTAGTTGGGAATACAGTAACCCTAGATATGGGAGTTGGGTGAACTTGTAGTTGGGAATACAGTAACCCTAGATATGGGAGTTGGGTGAACTTGTAGTTGGGAATACAGTAACCCTAGATATGGGAGTTGGGTGAACTTGTAGTTGGGAATACAGGAACCCTAGATATGGGAGTTGGGTGAACTTGTAGTTGGGAATACAGTAACCTTAGACATGGGAGTTGGGTGAACTTGTAGTTGGGAATACAGGAACTTTAGACATGGGAGTTGGGTGAACTTGTAGTTGGGAATACAGGAACCTTAGACATGGGAGTTGGGTGAACTTGTAGTTGGGAATACAGGAACCCTAGACATGGGAGTTGGGTGAACTTGTAGTTGGGAATACAGGAACCTTAGGCATGGGAGTTGGGTGAACTTGTAGTTGGGAATACAGTAACCTTAGACATGGGAGTTAAGACACTTGAACCTAAGTACACAATTTACTCAACCATTTTATAATTTGAAAAAGATTTTATTAATAGTGTAAATAAACTGAATGATATTGAACTACAAGAATACTTGGATATGCTGATGACATTGATATTGTTGGAGAAAATGAACTAGAGACTGTTAAAACACTGACTGTCTTAAAAAAATCAGCTCAGAAAATGGGACTAGTTATCAATCAAGATAAGACTTCTTCGCTGTCTTCGCTGATCTCAAGCAGATTTGGGAAAATTCTTTATGCACCATGGTATATGCTTGCGCAACCCTGGTATACGGTTGCGGCCACCCTGGTATACGCTTGTGGCACCCCTGGTATACGGTTGCAGCACCCCTGGTATACACTTGCGGCACCCCTGGTATACGCTTGCAGCACCCCTGGTATACGCTTAAGACACCCCTGATATACGCTTGTATCACCCCTGTTATACGCTTGTGGCACCCCTGGTATACACTTGCATCATCCCTGGTATATGCTTGCAGCACCCCTGGTATATGCTTGTATCACCCCTGTTATACGCTTGTGGCACCCCTGGTATACACTTGCATCATTACTGGTATACGCTTGCGGCACCCCTGGTATATGCTTGTATCACCCCTGTTATACGCTTGTGGCACCCCTGGTATACACTTGCATCATCCCTGGTATACACTTGCGGCACCCCTGGTATATGCTTGTATCACCCCTGTTATACGCTTGTGGCACCCCTGGTATACACTTGTATCACCCCTGGTATACACTTGTATCACCCCTGGTATACACTTGCATCATCCCTGGTATACGCTTGCGGCACCCCTGGTATATGCTTGTATCACCCCTGTTATATGCTTGTGGCACCCCTAGTATACACTTGCATCATCCCTGGTATACACTTGTGGCACCCCTGGTATACGGTTGCAGCACCCCTGGTATACACTTGCGGCACCCCTGGTATACGCTTGCAGCACCCCTGGTATACGCTTAAGACACCCCTGATATACGCTTGTATCACCCCTGTTATACGCTCGTGGCACCCCTGGTATACACTTGCATCACCCCTGGTATACGCTTGCGTCACCCCTGGTATACGCTTGCGGCACCCATGGTACACACTTGCGGCATCCCTGGTATACACTTGCGGCACCCCTGGTATACACTTGTATCACTCCTGGTATACACTTGCGGCACTCCTGGTATACACTTGTATCACTCCTGGTATACACTTGTATCACCCCTGGTATACACTTGTATCACTCCTGGTATACACTTGTATCACCCCTGGTATACACTTGCGGCACTCCTGGTATACACTTGTATCACTCCTGGTATACACTTGTATCACCCCTGGTATACACTTGCGGCACTCCTGGTATACACTTGTATCACTCCTGGTATACACTTGTATCACTCCTGGTATACACTTGCGGCACTCCTGGTATACACTTGTATCACCCCTGGTATACACTTGTATCACTCCTGGTATACACTTGTATCACCCCTGGTATACACTTGTATCACTCCTGGTATACACTTGCGGCACTCCTGGTATACACTTGTATCACTCCTGGTTTACACTTGTATCACCCCTGGTATACACTTGCAGCACCCCTGGTATACACTTGCGGCACCCCTGGTATACACTTGCGGCACCCCTGGTATACACTTGTATCACCCCTGGTATACACTTGTATCACTCCTGGTATACACTTGTATCACCCCTGGTATACACTTGTATCACTCCTGGTATACACTTGCGGCACTCCTGGTATACACTTGTATCACTCCTGGTATACACTTGTATCACCCCTGGTATACACTTGTATCACTCCTGGTATACACTTGCGGCACTCCTGGTATACACTTGTATCACTCCTGGTATACACTTGTATCACTCCTGGTATACACTTGTATCACCCCTGGTATACACTTGCAGCACCCCTGGTATACACTTGCGGCACCCCTGGTATACACTTGCGGCACCCCTGGTATACACTTGCGGCACCCCTGGTATACACTTGCGGCACTCCTGGTATATACTTGTATCACCCCTGGTATACACTTGCGGCACCCCTGGTATACACTTGCGGCACTCCTGGTATATACTTGTATCACCCCTGATATACACTTGCGGCACCCCTGGTATACACTTGCGGCACCCCTGATATACACTTGCGGCACCCCTAGTATACACTTGCGGCACCCCTGGTATATACTTGTATCACCCCTGATATACACTTGCGGCACCCATGGTATATACTTGTATCACCCCTGATATACACTTGCGGCACCCCTGGTATACGCTTGTATCACCCCTGATATACACTTGCGGCACCCCTGGTATACGCTTGTATCATCCATGGTATAAACCTGTGGCACCCCTGGTATATACTTGCGGCACCCCTGGTATACGCTTGTATCACCCATGGTATACGCTTGCGGCACCCCTCGTATACACTTGCGGCACCCCTGGGTGCTCAAGTTGTACTCCAAGTTTCAGAGCCATATGAAACTACTGGTACTGCTACCAAACCTCATTAAAAATCTTCAGCAAAACAAACATTAAAAAGTCAACAACAGTACAAACACTGTGACCCTCACCTCACTAACAGCAACCACAATGACAGTGAACGTCATCACCTTATAGATGTGGATCTGCCCTAGTCTCCAGAGGTAGACAACAAACCCAGACCACACTTCAGAGATCCTCAGACTCTTCCTCCTTATCCACGTATGCATAGAACCAGTGACTGGTAAAAGTGAACACGCATGCATTTTATCATCATCATCATCATCATCACATAGCAGGTCCTTTGCAAAGCTTGGCTCTCACCTTGGCACAGCAGAAAGCTATTTGTTCCCTTGCCAACTTTCTTGCCTTATTAAATGTCACGCCCAGAAGATGGCCATAGGTAATGTACACTCTGAATGAGTAGAAAGCATTTAAAAATCGCACTTAACCTCCTTCCCTTGGATACACAATCCTGGGCATGTAGGCGTGAAAGTTAATGGATGAGCAGACCAACTGGCAAGCAGTACATGAATACAAACAGGATAAAGGATGGGCAGAGCAGATCTCATTACCTCTGCATGGACCAGGCTAGTGGATAATGATGAACCCCTGACACTAACATGCTTACATAACCTGGGAATAAAGCATGGTGAAGCATGTCTATGCAGCCTTTAAAGCCGAGAGAGGAGACATTATAGCCAGCGTCTCACTGGAACAATCAGTAGAGGTACCTTAGAGTGGCTGCTGCATTGGAGGACTGAGCACACATGGGAATGCCCAGTGTGCAGTGACGCTGTGATAGCGTAACATGTCCTTGGGATAGCTCTGCATCAGAGGGCTCAGCATGCATGGTAATACTCCATGTGGGTGATGTCCACTGCGACAATATAACATAATGAAATACAGTTCTTCTTCTTCCTTCTATCCCCCCAATGGAGCATAGGCCCTCAACCAACTCATGTTAATTGCTCGGTTCTACACCATTTCATGCAGCTCTCTCCATGTCCTCCCAATCTTTTTAACTTCACTCTCCAGCTCCCTTCTCCATTTGTTTTTTGCTCTTTCTTTATTTCTATGCCTCTGTGGGTTCCAGTGCAAAGACATTCTAGTTATTATGTTCTCAGGTTTTCTCAACGTGTGTCCTGCCCAATGTCAGCCTTTATTCTTCACCTCTTGGTCCACTTGAACTTGTTTAGTTCTCTCACAAAGCTCAACATTAGTGATTCTATCATACCAATTAATTCCCTCTATTCTGCCAGGCGCTGGTTTAGGTTTAGGCGACAGGTCAATATCATGGCACAAGGGTAGTAACCCATAAGTGCTCCAATCTACTTCTGACTCAAGCCTGAGTCTGAAGAATCTCAGCGCAGCACACGAACTTCATAGCACCGGCAAGGTTCCTGAAATACTTTGGGTAGATTTTTAACTCCAAATTTTGCCTGGGCAGTGCCGTTAGGCTACTCGTTTTTCGATTTCCAACTGCCAAGGGATTTTTAACGTGTAAAGCAATACACACAGCGTCCAGTCTTACCACCCAGAGGCCGGGGGAAATTACTAAAAGTCCACGTGAAAAAATCCTAGTCTTCACCAGGGCTTGAACTCGGGATCTCCAGCACTCAAGGTAAATGCCAAGCCTTGAAACCATGAGGTTCTGGTTAATTAATATTTGTAGTTTATTAGTAACTGCCTTAATTCTCCATGTTTCTGCTCCATACAACAGAACTGATTTGACATTAGAATTAACAATTGTCAGTTTAGTATTAGTTTAAATTTCTTGTGATCTCCACAAATTTCCTAGTGCTATGAAAGCTTTTCTTGCTTTTTTTTTTTTGTATTTGTATTGTAATATCTCCATCAGTTCCCCCATCTTTGTCTACATTACTGCCAAAATAGGTGTAGGACTCCATGTCTTGGAGTGAGAAACCACATTACTATTTGCCTGATTAATTCTCATTACCTTAATTCTTCTTTTACAGATTGTTAGACCTAGCTGTGATCTCACATCGAGTCTATCCATGGTTGGTTGCTTTTTTTTTTGGGATATATTAATACAACTGTCAATGTATACAAAGGCATCAGCTGCTTCTGAAATGCTGAACAAAACATTTTCTTCTTCTTCTTCTTCTTCACATTCACCAGCTGTAAACTCTGGCAGGAAGTTCTGCTTGTTTGTTCACTTCTAGACTGCAGTCCCGTTCCAGAACCTGAGTGTTTTATGTGTATCCGTTTGACAGATCTGACTAATTTGTATGCAGACTGTTGGTTCCTTGCCTCTCAGGCAGATACACTCCAACTTCGAAGGAAGCTCCCAATTAGTCGACTCTTATGACATGCTTCTGGGTAGGCAGTGGGTCTATTCTGGTTTTTCCTATAACAGGGCCCCTGAACCCACATGGGGATGAACAAAATATGAAATTCTAAACTGATTCGATTGAAAACCAAATGCCTGCGGAAAATGTAAAACACAGAATGGGATGAATTCGAGAGAGGTGAAGAAATTAGAGAAATGTCTGGGCAACCACCAGTAACAACAGTTATAAAACAACAATGTTTGCCCCACTCTGGATATAACCTGAGAAGAAATGAGCAGAGAATTCCCAGCAAGGCAGCAAAATGGGGGAAAATAAAGAATTTATAAATACCGTTTATAAGAGATAAATAATTGGAATGATGTAAAAAGATCACGATGTAAACAGTGTGTGTTATTTAACAGATGTAACATTTTTAAGTGTTCTCAATGTGATTTATGTGTAATTCAGTGTTCTTTTAACTCTTTGAGTCCCAGAGGGTTTAGCATCACAGGCCCAAGGGGTAGTCAAGAGAGACGTAAAATCGGCGCATTATGCGTTCATTGGGCTTCTAGGCAGTAACGTATGAACGTATCGTGTGTTCCTTGGGACTCAAAGAGTTAGGGATAAAACTTTGGCAGGTCCCACAAATCGACAGTGGATTTAAAAGTTCCAAAAAAAAAACTGCTCTAGAAACTGTGTATCTTCTTCTGCGTTTATACAAAGATGTAATCATCCGTTTACAGCATGGCTGCGATATTTGCACCTTTCGGCCAACACATCTGACTTCTGCGGGCATTTGTTGACCGAGTTAGCCTTCCCGGGAAACTGTATATGACATTAGGAAATCCATCAGCGACCGAGCGCGCCCTGGCTCAGCTGCCGATCGTCTGATGAACTACGACGCCTAGCGGCATAAGCAGATATTGTCAAAAGAAGAAGATAATTATATCATCTGAATGCTACCTTGAGCATTTCTGCAGTAATATCATAATCACATATTGCCTTATTGTTTGCTGATGAAATGATTGCCCCCCCCCCCCTGATCTCCATGTCATTTATGTGCCCTGTATTTATTGGTAACATTACCTCTCTCTTTCTCTCTGTGTGTGTGTGTGTGTATGCGTGTGTGTGAACTAGGTTAATTTAACATTTCTTGGAAGTGTTCTGCCCATCTCTCCTCCTGCTCAGTATCAGATGTAAACACACATACCCTCATATAAATAGCCACCACTCACACACATCCCAGTTCACACACAATGCACACATTACACAGACCCACATGTTCAATATGCCCACACAGACAGACGCTGACACAGACAGATACCTTTGAGAGAATGAATTTCTGCACTGCTGTACCTTTTCCTTTTGCTAGTTCTAGAAAACATACTGCCTATTTTGTTTCTGTTCATGTTCACATTTTCATCATCATCATCACTGGTCAAAGAAAACAGCAGTAACAACAGTGTCAGTATTCAACTCAACATGACAGTGAAGACAGCTGTAACAACAGTGTCAGTATTTAACTCAACATGACTGAAGACAGCAGTAACAACAGTGTCAGTATTCACCTTAACATGACAGTGAAGACAGCAGTAACAACAGTGTCAGTATTCAACTCAACATGACAGTGAAGACAGCAGTAAAAACAGTGTCAGTATTCAACTCAACATGACAGTGAAGACAGCAGTAAAAACAGTGTCAGTATTCACCTCAAAATGACAGTGAAGACAGCAGTAAAAACAGTGTCAGTATTCAACTCAACATGACGGTGAAGACAGCTGTAACAACAGTGTCATTATTCAATTCAACATGACAGTGAAGACAGCAGTAACAACAGTGTCAGTATTCACCTCGACATGACTGAAGACAGCAGTAACAACAGTGTCAGTAATCACCTCAACATGACAGTGAAGACAGCAGTAACATCAGTGTCAGTATTCAACTCAACATGACAGTGAAGACAGCAGTAACAACAGTGTCAGTATTCAACTCAACATGACAGTGAAGACAGCTGTAACAACAGTGTCAGTATTCAACTCAACATGGCAGTGAAGACAGCTGTAGTGACAGTGTCGGTATTCAACTCTACATGACGGTGAAGACAGCAGTAACAAAAGTGTCAGTATTCAACTCAACATGACAGTGAAGACAGCAGTAAAAACAGTGTCAGTATTCAACTCAACATGACGGTGAAGACAGCAGTAACAACAGTGTCAGTATTCAATTTAACATGACAGTGAAGACACCAGTAACAACAGTGTCAGTATTCACCTTAACATGACTGAAGACAGCAGTAAAAACAGTGTCAGTATTCAACTCAACATGACGGTGAAGACAGCAGTTAAAAATAGTGTCAGTATTCAACTCAACATGACGGTGAAGACAGCTGTAACAACAGTGTCAGTATTCAATTCAACATGACAGTGAAGACAGCAGTAACAACAGTGTCATTATTCAACTCAACATGACAGTGAAGACAGCAGTAATAACAGTGCCAGTATTCACCTCAACATGACTGAAGACAGCAGTAATGTGTTTTTCAGCATTTAAGTCTGATACAACTGATGGAGCTGGTACAATGGCTGCTGAGCTTGTACAATGGTTGATGGGCGGGTACAACAGCTGATGAGCTGGTACAATAGTTGATAAGATGGTACAATAGTTGATGAGATGGTACAACAAGTGATGAGCTGTTACAACAGTAGATAAGCTGGTACAACAGCTGATGAGCTGGTACAACAGTTGATGCGCTGGTACAGAGCTGATGAGCTGGGACAACATTTGATGAGGTAGTACAGAGCTGATGAGCTTGTACAATAGTTGAAGAGTTTGTACAACAGTTGATGAGCTGGTAGAACAGTTGATAAGCTGGTACAACAGTGGCACAGTTGATAAGGTGGTACAACAACTAATGAGCTGGAACTGGTAAAACAGCTGATGGGCTGATACAAAAGTTGATGAGCTGGTACAACAATTGATGAATTGGTACAACAGCTGATTAGCTGGTACTGGTAAAACACTTGATGAGCTGGTACGGTTATTTAGCTGGTACAACAATTGATGAGCTGGTACAACAGTGGCACAGTTGATGAGCTGGTACAACCAATGACGAGCAGGTACTACAGATGATGAGTTGGTACAGCCAGTTAATGAGCTGGTACAACAACTGATGGGCTGGTACAACAGTTGATGGGCTGGTACAACTGATGATGAGCTGGCACTAAAGATGAGTTGATACAGTTAATGAGCTGGTTCAACAGTAGATGGGCTGGTATAACAGTTGATGAGCTGGTACAGGTGATGAGATGGTACAACAGATGAGATGGCACAGCTGATGAGCTGATGTAGCCTCATCTCTAGTACAAACTAAACACAGTCAACACAAGCGTCCTTACATGTAACGATCCAGTCGGCTAAGACTGAGGAACGTTTTGTGGAAGAAGCGCAGCTGCATGATGACGATCACCAGGAAGCAAGTTGGGGTCAGCAAGCTGAAGAACAGGCCAGCAATGTCGTACTTCTTGAGCCCAATGTCTTCTAACCTGTCAGAGGAGATGAACAACAGACACACTCAATATTCAATCATTGTATTTATTAGGATGTCCAACCATGCACACACACACACATGGATGATAGGCATTACCATCACAGTTTTTAGTCACAGCAAATTGTTTCTACTGACAGACAGTGGCAATTGCATTTTTCTCTATTTATGGACTGCTGGGTTGCTCAGCTGCTGAGCTTCATGCATGGCACCGCACTGTGAGCTGTGAATTTCAGTTTTAGTCATGGCAAATTGTTTCTCTGACAGACAATGACCACTGTATTTTCCTTCATTTGTAGACTGAGAGGGCATAATTTTGTTGCTCTGCTACTGAGTTTCACGCATGGCACGACACTGTGAGCTGCTTATTTTAGTTTTAGTCATGGCAAATTGTTTCTTCTAACAGACGGTGACCATTGCAGTTTACTTAATATGTAGCCTGAGAAGACATCGTTTTGTTGTTCAGCTACTGAGTTAAGTGCATGGCATGACACTGTGAGCTGCAAATTTCATTTTCAATGTTTGCGGACAGTGACAACATAGTGTTGTGAACTGTAGATTCAGAAAATGGTGTGCGACTTGTTCGCCACAGTATTGGTGGTGTCTTATGTGATTAAAATTGATTGCATGTGCAACTGCTGATCTGTTTGTAACTGCTGCTTCCGTCAATGATAAACTACATTTCTAATGTCGGACTGTTTGTGTTAGCACTTCTGATGGCTGCCTTATGCTTTTAATGTGTGTGTTTGCTGGTGGATATGCTGAGACTGCAGTCTGTGTCAATTCTTCCACAAGGGACAGTGATGGACATTCTGTGTGTTTTTCATTGGCATAGAAGCAGAGCAACTACAGGGTGGCTCATTTGCTATGAAGCTACAACGAAGATTACCAAGATTACATACAAAAAGATTCCCTAAAAGATATTAAACCGAACAAAAAAGTATATCTGCAATACAGGTTACTTTGTTTATAATAAAACTGGTTAGAGAAAGAATTCCCTAGAGTCAATGGAACAAATTTAAGAGGTCTCTTACTTAATGGCATCCCCATGTGGAATGCAATTTTTTTTTTATTTGAAGCCCCCACCCTATCTTTTGCCGGGGACCATAAATTTTTCCACAATGTAGCCAGGACAAAACCATGTACAAGTTATCAGTTTTCCACAATGTAGCCAGGAAAAAACCATGTACAAGTTATCAGTTTTCCACAATGTAGCAAGAACTAAACCATGTACAGGATATCAGTTTCTTTAACAAAACCATGTACACGTTATCAGTTTCTACAATGTAACCAGGGGCAAAAGCATGCACAAGTTATGTTTCCACAATGAAACTAGGATAAAACCATGCACAAGTTATCAGTTTCCACAATGAAACTAGGATAAAACCATGCACAAGTTATCAGTTTCCACAATGAAACTAGGATAAAACCATGCACAAGTTATGTTTCCACAATGAAACTAGGATAACACCATGCACAAGTTATCAGTTTCCACAATGAAACTAGGATAAAACCATGCACAAGTTATCAGTTTCCACAATGAAACTAGGATAAAACCATGCACAAGTTATCAGTTTCCACAATGAAACTAGGATAAAACCATGCACAAGTTATCAGTTTCCACAATGAAACTAGGATAAAACCATGCACAAGTTATCAGTTTCCACAATAAAACTAGGATAAAACCATGCACAAGTTATCAGTTTCCACAATGAAACTAGGATAAAACCATGCACAAGTTATCAGTTTCCACAATGAAACTAGGATAGAACCATGCACAAGTTATCAGTTTCCACAATGAAACTAGGATAAAACCATGAACAGGTTATCAGTTTCCACAATGAAACTAGGATAAAACCATGCACAAGTTATCAGTTTCCACAATGAAACTAGGATAAAACCATGCACAAGTTATCAGTTTCCACAATGAAACTAGGATAAAACCATGCACAAGTTATCAGTTTCCACAATGAAACTAGGATAAAACCATGCACAAGTTATCAGTTTCCACAATGAAACTAGGATAGAACCATGCACAAGTTATCAGTTTCCACAATGAAACTAGGATAAAACCATGAACAGGTTATCAGTTTCCACAATGAAACTAGGATAAAACCATGCACAAGTTATCAGTTTCCACAATGAAACTAGGATAAAACCATGCACAAGTTATCAGTTTCCACAATGAAACTAGGATAAAACCATGCACAAGTTATCAGTTTCCACAATGAAACTAGGATAAAACCATGCACAAGTTATCAGTTTCCACAATGAAACTAGGATAGAACCATGCACAAGTTATCAGTTTCCACAATGAAACTAGGATAAAACCATGCACAAGTTATCAGTTTCCACAATGAAACTAGGATAAAACCATGCACAAGTTATCAGTTTCCACAATGAAACTAGGATAGAACCATGCACAAGTTATCAGTTTCCACAATGAAACTAGGATAAAACCATGCACAAGTTATCAGTTTCCACAATGAAACTAGGATAGAACCATGCACAAGCTATCAGTTTCCACAATGAAACTAGGATAGAACCATGCACAAGTTATCAGTTTCCACAAATAAAAACAAGGCAGTGGCATGCTCTAGAACAGGGCTATTCAACTGGCTCACAGGCCAAATCTGGCCCACAGAGGCCTAACTAATGGCCCGCAGATCACTTGTATTGTATTTATAATCTTTCTATGCTGGAGCTCAGGCCTCCAACCCGCAACAATCCCCACTTCTCAACATTTCTGCTCCTGAGTAAACTTAGCTGAACAGCCCTGGCGTACAAATGACCAGTTTCCACAGTGTAACCAAGACACCAGCATGCCCTACAAGATACTTACAATTTATCCTCGAAGCCTGTGATGTTCTTCCAGTAAAGATGAGCATTCTCAAATTGGTATGTATATATCAATGTGAGTACCAGGATAGAGTAGACGGTCACCACCCACCAGAATGTGTAGTTGATTGACCTCCACAGTTCAAAGTTCAGCTGTGGGAGGGGTCGGAGAAATGTTACAGTCAGCATCATTATCAACATCAACTTCCACGTTTGCCATTAAGCATCATGCAGCAGGAAAGACAGCATTTTTTGGGCAAGCCCAGAAAAAAGAACAAGAAAAAGAAGAGGAGAAAGAGCAGCAACAGTTGGACATCAAAAAGAAAAAAGAGGAGAAGGAGGAGAAAAACAAGAAAAACAACCATAACAAGATTTAAAAAAAAAAAAAAAAACAAGACAAACAACCAGAACAAATGAATGAACGAACAAACTTTATGTCCAAAGGGTTTCAAATTTGACGTGCAGGCCCATTTTATACTTGGTCCTTCCAAACATTCACCTTTAATACGACAGTTGCAATTTATGTATCAAGCATATTATGTTAATTTTTCAAAATTTACTGTCTAAATTAAATTTAAAATGTAAAGGCATAGATGACAAAGGCATATTCAAATATACATGCAGAAGTACTAACGGAGAGCAGATATACACATAGCACACCCATATAAAAACACCCTTACACACACAGAGGTACACACATTAATGACACACACATAACATAAACAGGCATACACAATATCATAGAGAGAACACATACACACAGACACAACACATACAGACTTACACAGACAAAAAAACACACAGTCACAACACGTAGACACAACATACACACAGACAACACACCCCGATACAATATACACAGGCATGTTGTTCGCCCATCATGACTGATGAAGACCCCTTTCCTCCTAAGTAGTAATGATCAATGGTTATGAGTACTTCCCGTATGGGTTCCGGGGCACTATTGTGGGGAAAACAAGAATAGACCCTCTGCCTACCCAACAGCATGTCGTAAGAGTCAACTAATTGGGAGCTTCCTTCAAAGTCGGAGTACATCCGCCTGAGAAGCAAGGAACCAGCAGTCTGCACACAAATGAGTCAGATCTGTCAAACGGACGCACACCCAACACTCAGGTTCTAGAACAGGACTGCAGTCCAGAAGTGGACAAACAACCAGAACTTTCTGCCAGAGTTTACAGCTGGTGAATGCAAAGAAGGAGAAGAAGAAGATTATGTGTACGAAGGTGGCTGATTAGTCCAATATGAGCCCGGAAAGTTCTTGAGCAGTGCAGACAACAGACAGAAACAAGAGTAAGTGTGGGATTAGCAGTACGATTCTTTCTAGTCTGCCTCCAATAAACACTCGCATGATACTCTTACAGACACAATACATTCGCACAGAGAAAAAGAAGAAGAAAAAAAGAAGCAGAAAAAAACAAAAACAAGGGAAAAAAAATCATTAAGAACAGGAAGAACAATGAGAAGAACAAAAAGAACAACAACAACAAGAAGATTAACAATAACGACAAGATCAACAGCAATAACAACGACAAGTAGAAGATTGAGAATACTAATATTCACTGGCTATCCTCCAACTAACTGTCGGTAAAGATGGCGGCCGCAAAATATCCTTTCGAGCCACAGTCGCGTGTCAATTGCGCCATAGCGGTCACGAGCACACCGCGGCTGCTGCTCGTGGGTCCTAGCCATCTAGTTTAGCCCCATTCCATGCCGCTCAAGCAGCGTGGGGTACATGTGGCGGTGGCGATAGTCGCCGGAGAACCGCAAATTAAGTCACGCGACTGTGGCTTGAAAGGATATTTTGCGGCCGCCATCTTTACCGACCCTTAGTCGAAGGAGAGCCTATTCACTGAATCTCACTGAATGCTCTTTATCTCTTACGATGGATGAAGTCCATGAACACATCTACTTCAACAAATCACTGCTTGTGCATATGGTCTACTTGTGTTGAATGTGTGATCAAGGAAAAACAGGGACTATCTACAGCAGCGGTTCTCAACCTATAGATCGTGGCCTTTTTTGGGGTTGAACACCCTTTCACATGGGTCGCCAATGACCATCGCCAAACAAATATTCATTGAATTTATGAAGTAGCGACAAAAATAAGTGCATGGGTGTGGGGTCGCGACAGTAGGAAGGTTGAGAACCAATGATTTACAGGGTGTCCAGTAAGTTCCCATACGTAGAAATGAAACTTTAAAAAAAAAAAACTTTTTTTAACAAAATATATCAGAACACATTTAAGCATAAATACTACCCGGGCATGCAAAGAAATGAGCAAGCTGATCAGCTTGCAAGTAAAGCTACTGCAGAAGGTGGACGAGACATGAACCATAATGATATTGTGAATGCTCTACGAGAAGTTAGACTTTTGCAAGAACCAAGTGATGACTGTGAACATGCAACCATTAGCAGACTGTAGTTAAAAAGTGGGTGGCCAGACATGAGCACTATGCAGGAATCCAAAGAAGAATGAGAAACCAGCACAGCACAGAACTGGTGTCATGAGATGCTACATGCTGCAGGATTGACTAAAGACAGGATGTGAGCACTTATGGACTGAATGATTTGATGGGCAATGAGGAAAATATGTCAACTAACTAACTGATCAACATATAAGCATAACAGGGTTTATGCGTGTAATGGTGTCAGGGATATGGTTATTTTTCCTTTGAATGGAAACCTACTGGATACCCTGTAGATGACTATGTTCTGTACTTACACTGAATGTGATGATAAAGAAATGAAAGAGAACCATGTAGATGATTCTGTAGATGATGTGTGCTGTACTTACATTGAATGTGGTGACAAAGAGAAGATAGAGAACCATGTAGATGATTCTGTAGATGACTATGTTCTGTACTTACACTGAATGTGATGACAAAGAGAAGAAAGAGAACCATGTAGATGATTCTGTAGATGACTATGTTCTGTACTTACACTGAATGTGATGACAAAGAGAAGATAGAGAACCATGTAGATGATTCTGTAGATGACTATGTTCTGTACTTACATTGAATGTGATGACAAAGAGAAGAAAGAGAACCATGTAGATGATTCTGTAGATGACTATGTTCTGTACTTACATTGAATGTGATGATAAAGAGATGAAAGAGAACCATGTAGATGATTCTGTAGATGATGTGTGCTGTACTTACATTGAATGTGATGACAAAGAGAAGAAAGAGAACCATGTAGATGATTCTGTAGATGACTATGTTCTGTACTTACACTGAATGTGATGACAAAGAGAAGAAAGAGAACCATGTAGATGATTCTGTAGATGATGTGTGCTGTACTTACATTGAATGTGATGACAAAGAGAAGAAAGAGAACCATGTAGATGATTCTGTAGATGACTATATCCTCCATAGACACCACGGCCATCATGATGGTGCAGAAGAAGATCCAGTACTTGCACAACAGCAGCCACAAAAAGTTACCTACATGTGTAACAGAAATGTGTAAGCAGCAGGAATCTGGTAATCTGATAATCTGGTAATCTTAGTTTCAGCTTCATCGCAAACGGGTCACCCCATAGTTGCTCTGCTCCTGTGCCAACTAAAAACACACAGAATGTTTATGACAGTCCCTTGTAGAAAGACTGACAGACTGCTGTCTCAGCACATGCACTAGCAGACACACGCATTCAAAGTCTACGGTAGCCATTCGAAGTGCTAACACAAACAGTGTGACATTAGAAATGCAGTTCATCATGGATGGTAGCAAAAGTCACCAACAGATCAGCAGTTACACATTAGATCAATTTTAATCACATCAATATTGTGATGACAGGCCATGCGCCATTTTTTAAATCTACAATTCACACCACCAGGTTGGTCACAGTAGAAAAGCATTCCAAATGAAATCAGCCACTCACAGTGTCACGTCATGCACTCAATTCAGAAGTTGGGTGACAAAACTATCCTTTCAGTCTACAAATGGAGCACAAATTTGCCCCGGCTCACAACAGCGACTGTGCCTAGCGTCCATTTTGACCGGAAGTAGTGAGGGCTTATTAACGTTCACCCCAGTGGTGCCATCGTGCTGGGGAAGGGGCCAGGGGCGTAACGCCCATCAGCAAGGTGTCGCCCCTGTACGACCTGACTGCCTTCGTTAACGATTGTGCTCCCATTAATAACAGCAGGAATATGTCATGTGTTAACAAACTACCTTTCCATATGGGTTCTAGGGCTCTACTGGGTATTGGTGTGTTAGGGAATCGGACCCCCCCCCCCTCTCTTTTCTCCCTTACCCCACAACAAGAATGCTGTAAAAAGTGACTATTTGAGTAAAAAAGTAAACAATCCATTCCACGCCTTCAGGCATATTGGGCATATAGGGGTAGACCTATATTTTATAGACCAATCCTAATAGACAACTTGTAGAAAACTGGGAATCCAAACAAAGAATAAAGCACAAATCGGTTTTACACTGTGTTAATGAAATTCAGGACAGATACCACCTCCCAGAAAGACGTCAAGGAATTCAGAATGTTGCAAGAAACCTACCACCACATGCTCGCTTTAAAGCTCTAGAAGTTCGAACTAAATTGGTAGGTGAGGAAACCAAACAGTCCGACCCAATCGCTCTTATGAACTCATCACTAAAGACCGTTGATTCTTACCCCCAAGAATGGATACATGTCTATACTGATGGATCAGCATTTAAAGCTACCATTAAAGCAGGTTACGGAATCTACATAGGTTATCCCGATGGATCTGTTGAAGAGATTTTTGATGCATGCGGAGAATTCTGTTCAAACTATGAAGCTGAAATAATTGCACTGGAAACAGCAGTATACCACCTAAAGACTGTAATGGATGTTTACCCTTCAAAGGTCCAAAATATTGTCATCTTCACAGATTCAATGTCTACCCTTCAAGCTCTGGAGGGCAGTGAACGCTGCAGAACTGACATAGCCAAGATAATCCAGGATGCTGATCAGCTTATTACCTCATACAACATCAGAATAGTGATGCAGTGGATTCCAGGTCACTCCGGCACACCAGGTAATGACAGAGCTGACAGATTGGCAAAGAAAGGAGCAACACAAGAACAACCACCTACAGCGACAACCCTCCAGACAGCAAAAACACTGATAAGAGCTATAAACAAAGAGACTTGGTTGAGACACTGGAAGAGAGGTTTATAGACATATGTCTGGCCCTGATCCTAATGACAGCATTAACCATCTAACAAGAAGGGACCAGGCCACCATATTCAGACTTAGAACGCAACATACTCCACTCAATGGACACCTAAGCAGAATACAGCCACAACACTCCCCAGAGTGCCAGCTATGTAACTACCCCTACGAAACTGTTGAACACCATCTCTTTGAGTGCCCAAAACTCAGTGAGACAAGAAGAACGCTACTCCCTCCGAGACCAGACAAGTTGAACACCTTGTACGGAGGAAAAGAACAGCTTGTGAAAACATGCAAATTCCACTACATGGCATTGGGCCAAAGGGCAAAAGCTCATGCGCCGCTGGATCGATAACAACAACAACAATAGACCAATCAGCACTCGGTGCTCAACATCATGCCGGCCACTTTTACTTCCCAGGACTCCACCTGGCACCCATTTCTTCTTCTTCATTCACCAGCTGAAAGCTCCGGCGGAAAGTCCTGGTTGTTTGTACAACTGGACTGTGACTTCATGCCAGGGCCTTGAGTTTTGTGTGCACATCTGTTTTACTGACTTATTTGTGTGCAGTTGGTTGTTCCTTGCTGCTTGGGCAGATGCACTCCGACTTTCAAGGAAGCCCCCAATCAGTCAAAATCTACAATATCCTTGTTGGAGAGGCAGTGGGTCTATTCTTGTTTTCCCCACAATGGGGTCCCGGAACCCACACAGGGAGCATCAGTCATCTGATATTAGACTCATATTTTTATAGACTAAACGGCCCTAGGTGGATGATATGGACAACATCAGGTCAGCCGCCTTTACTTCCCAGGACATTACCTGGTACCCACTTTGAGCTGAATCAACCTGGGAGCCAAGGTTCAATTTGAAGAAAAAAAGTCATCCCACCTGAGGTGGATTTAAACCAAAGCCTCACCTTCAGGGGAGCATATAGCCACTATACTGCCACAAGAGTTACATGAACTAGCTTCTTTAAAGTCAGAGTGCATCTGCCTGACAGGCAAGGAACCAACAGACTGCACACAAGTAATCCAGGGATATACATGTAAAACATGGGTTCTGGAACAAAGCCAAAGTCCAGAAGTGGATGAACAACCTGGAATTTCTGCCGGTAGTTTACAGCCGGTGAGCACAAACAAACAAATTAATTAAGCAGAAGGTAAAAGACCCTTCTTCGCGCCTTCACTCATATTGGGCACATAGGGCTAGACCTATACTTTTTAGACCAATCAGCATTCGGTGGGAGATGTGGTCAACATCATGCCAGCCTCCTTTACTTCCCAGAACTTTACCTGGTACCTATCCAAGGCTGGGTCCACCTAGCAGCCAAGGTTACTGTTGAAGAAAAAAGACAGGCTCCATCCAGACTGGAACCCACAACCTTCTTATCTTCCTCATCATCATCATTAATTTTCTTACTGCCTAGTGGCACATGAGGCTTCAGAGAGGTCTTTCCATGCTTTCCTGTCCTGTGCAATGTTCAGTGCAGTTTTCCATGGCAGAGATGCCGCACTCAGGTCACTTTCCATCGTTCGTCACCATGTTGTTTTTTTAGGGGCCCCTTTCCAACTTCCAACTTCTTATCTTAGGGAATTGTAAATAAATTAACTAGAACTTTCAATCTGAACTGTACCTATAGAGACCATGGTCGAGCTGTCGTATGTAGTGTATTCCATGCCCAGCGGAACTAAAGGAGACAAACAAATGAGGATATGAAACAACTTCATACAGAATATGTGTTATGTTACAAAGAAAAACCAAACTAATGGACATACAACATATATGGGGATAAGCAGAAGGATGGTCATGTAGGAATGTTTGAGAAGAGAAAAGCTGTGAAAGAAAAAAGAGAAATGAGAATAGAATAGAAATTAAGAAAGAGATTAGAAAGAGAGATAAGAAGAGCAGAACAGAAGAAAAAAAGAGATATGAAAAAAAAATAGATTAGAAGCGAATAAGAGGTGAGAAAAGAATGGAACTGATGACGAAATAAAAAGAAGGAAAAGAAGAAAGGAAAAAACAGAAAAGAAAAAAAAAAAAAACAGAGAAAAAAAAAAGAGATTAAAGAAAAGAACAGAAGTGATTGATGAGGAGAGAGGAAGAAGGAAGAGGGGAGAACTGCAGGGAAGAAAAAGAAGATGCAAAAAAAAAAAGTGAGCAGCAGGTGAGAGAGGTGAAGTGCAGATGAGAGTTAAGAAGATAAAAGATCAGAAAAGAATAGAAGTGATAAGAGAAGAAGAGAAAGGAAGCGAATACACATAACATAACATTAGGAGAACTAAGAGAAGTAGTTTAACCCCTGGTGAGAGCTCCTGGATCAAAGTTCAAAGTTTAAAGTTGAGATGATTGACATTAATGCACTAGGTTTTATCCAATTAGGCTCAGTCTTTTTCCAGAGAATAACTAGTCACCTGCTAAGAGCATCGCACAAAGCCCAATTTCTGTAGCTACAGTGACAATGCCTGGGATCTCAGTAAAAATTGTATTCGTGAACCAAGTGACAGTCTGTAACACAAACCCACAAACTCTGAAGTGCGAGGCACACCACTTATCCACTCAACCACAAAGACCCCTAAATCACTCAGGTCAAAGATTAGGTAAGCAAAAGTAAAGTAAAGGACCCTTTCCCAGTGGCGCATCAGGCTTCTTCATCTTCTTCTTCTTCTTCCTCGCATTCATCAGCTGTAAACTCCCAGAGAAAGTTCTGGTTGTCTGTCCACCTCCAGACTTTAGCCTTGTTCCAGAACCTGTGCTGTGTGCACATCCATTTTACAGATTTGGCATATTTTTCTGCAGACAATTCATTCTTTGCCTCTCAGGCAGAGGCACTCCAACTTTGAAGGATGTCCCCAGTTAGTCGACCCTTATCACATGCTTGTTGGGAAGGCAGTGGGTCTATTCTTGCTTTCCCCACAGTGGGACCCAGAACCCACAAAGGCACATTGGGTTTGTGATGCTAGATTCATATTTTTGTTAATATCACAACTATCGCTTGATGGATGATGTGGTCAACACCCTGCAAACCGCCTTTACTTCCCATAATTTTACCCAGTACCCATTTTAGGCTGTGTCGACCTGGAAACCAAAGCCATTTTTGCAGGAACAAATCTCACTCAGTATGGGCCGGAATGCAAGACCTTTCAGCCAGATCTGGCTTCTCATCACATGACTGAAGAACCCTCCTACATAAGTTAAAGTTAAATGTTAAGGTCGAGAGGATCAACTTCATCGCAGTAGGTTGCATCCCATATGGCTCGGCTTTTTCCCCCAGCAAAATGGCTAGCCACCTGCAGAGAACATAGCACAGAGTACAAACTCTGTAGCTCCGATGACGATCCCAAGGGACCTCCGTAAAAATTACAATCGTGAAATGAAGAGCACAAAAAGTGAAACAAACCCATGACCTTCAGAGCATGAGGTAAGTGGCTTGACCACTTCGCCATGGAGACCACCTCCCACATTAACTCTTTGAGTCCTAAGGGACGCATCATACATTCATAGATTCCTACCTAGAAGCCCAATAAACGCAAGATGCACTGTTTTTACTTCTCTCTTGACTAACTTTTGGGCTTGTGATGCTAAACCCCCTGGGACTCATAGAGTTAATATAAAAGCTTCAACATCATAAAAAACATAAAAGAATAAAAACTTACAAAGTCTGTTGATCAATGATTTCTTCGACTTCATAAATCTTTTCTTCGGAATGACTATTTTTATTTCATAACAACGTTGTCGAAAAGTCAGAAAGATAAAACAACTGTAGGCTGTCTGCAGACGGGAAAGTATGTTCACTTATAGAGTATTTGAATCGGTAAAGTAAAAGGTGTCAGCTCTGTGGCTAAGTCGATGCGAACGCTTCATAATGCCGGGATGCCAGGTTCGATCCCTGCTGCAGGCCATGCGCCTTGCGTTGGTTTCGACAGTGGTATCAAGAAAGCCCACCATCCAGAAAGCAATGGCAAACTACTGGACGTACATTTGCCTAGAAAAACCACACAACAGCCAGGGGCTGTTTGGGTTGGTTCTGCAACGTCCTGTAAAGGATACGCAACTAACCTTAAAGTAAAAGGTCACAAACTCTTTTCACACCAATACTGCAATGAGCAAATTATGCTTGACTTTTATTTGTACAGACAAATCGGCACATAATGAGTAATGTGGTTAACATCAAACCAGCCGCCTTTACTTCCCAGAATATTAGCTGGTACAATTTTGAAAACAAATCTGAATCGATGCGGATTCAAAGACAAGACCTCAGTCCGGCAAGAAAATGACTGTATTTTCTTCTACTTGTTGAAGTTCACTGGCTGTAAACTCTAGAAGAAAGTTCTGGTTGTTTGCCCACTTCTGGACTTTAGTCTTGTTCCAGATCTGTGGTTTAGCATAAACATCCGTTTAAAGATCTGGCTTATTTGTATACAGAATGGTGGCTCCTTCCCTCTCAGACAGATGCACTCTGATTTCGAAGGAAATACTGATAATTAGTCGCCTCATATGACATGCTTGTTAGGGGGTAGTGACTCTATAAACCCCCCCCCACCCCTTCCCCCCCCCCCCCTTTTCCCCCCAAATGAGGCCCCAGAACTAACATGGGACCATGGGTAATATATTATAAACATCTGGTCTTTCTCTAGCTACTTGGTTGAACAGGTGTTTTTAAAAAAAACAAAAAACTAAAAGACCCTTTTCACTCTTCTGGCGCATTGGGCTGGACCTGTATTTTAATAGACAAGTGGTACTCAATGGCTGGTGTGGCTGCTGCCTTTCCTTCCTCCAGACATGGGGATAAATTCAAGTGAATGAAGAGGTGAGGAATTGAACACAATCCAAAACCAAATGAAATTGAGACCAGAAAACGTCACCACAAATATAGCTGAAAGGAAAGTGAGAAGAAATGTGAGCGGACCTAGCTGAAAGTGGTCAACGAAAGAGAATTTGGAAATTTGAATTTGAGGTGAGGAATATAAAGTGCTGTAAGGTAATGCTATAGGAGGGACGAAATAAATGCCTGTCAACGTTGGAATTCTTCCTCTGAAGTCAGAGCGCATCTACCTGAGCGGTGAGGAACTAACAGTCTGCACACAAGGAAGGTGGATCTGTAAAACAGACTGCACACAAAACTCAAGTTTTAGAACAAGACTGAAGTCCAGAAGTGGACAAACAACCAGAACTTTCTGCTGGAGTTTACAGCCAGGGAACACTGAAAGAAAGAACTCAAATCAACTCATTCATCTGGAGCACATAACTAGCATAACATGATGATGATGATGACCTGTCGTGTGAGAAAGACAAGATGTTGCTTAGATGATCCATGCAGAGTGGAAAGCATCACTTCAGAGATCCCTGGTAATTAGCATTCTTTGGATATTTTCTCTGGGCCATGCTGGAGTGTTAGGAAAAGAACAGGCAAACAGACTGGCTAGTTCTGCCACAATGGGTGGTGAACAAGCTAAATGTGGTCAAGGTCCTCTGGCAGCAAGTGAACCATGCTCAGGCACAAATCAAACATATTGGTGCGGAGAGAATGGTACAGCTCGAGGTGACTATTGCAACTATTTGACATTCTGCAATCAGAGAAAAAGCAAGAAGAATCTTATCAAACTGCTACTGGCACCAACAGAATTGGAACTCTTTGCTAGCTGCTGAAGATGAGGGTAGAGCATGTATGGGAATGTCCTCATTGTTGTGATGTCAGTTCTTAGCTCAACAATACTCTGGACAGATAAAAAGAGTAAAGAGGGTGTCTTGGAAGAAACTGACTACCCATATGAGAAGGAGACAATCTGCATTCTTTGGTCATGTGATGAAAATGAGAAAACTGGAGTAAATCATGACATTAGGAAAGCTGGAAGGAGGGAAAGGCAGGCAGAGACCGAAAGAACAGATGCTGGACAGTCTGACATCATGGCATGGCATGGAAGATCATCTGTATCAGAGCTGATTGAAAGTACACGAGACAGAAGGTTGTGGATAAACATGACTACCAATGCCACACAGCATGGACTTGAAGAAGAAGAAGAAGAAGAAGCAGCTCAACAACACTTGACATATTACCTGCAGAGCCAAATTTGGGAAAGTGTTCTCAAATTTCTTAAAGCCGATTTCATAAAGGGTGCCTCTGTCCTTCCAGGTTAGAAGCTTTGTGTCGAAATCCATGCTGAACACATACTGGCTCAACAGCAGGAACTCTGCATATAAAACCAGCAAGGGAGAGATCCACAGGCAGGCCGTACGGGTGTTTGGCATTAGCCACAGTATACAGGCCGTCAGGAGGAACATGAATGTCAGGATTGAGTGGTAGGTAATGCTCCAGGCCTGTCAGAGAAAAATGGATGGTGGTTGTTAAATTTCACCAACATTGTGTTCATCTTCTTCTTCTTCATTTCTCTTTTCCCGCTTCAGGTGTCAAGGGAGATATGATTTTTTTTTTCTTCTGGCCCACTGGCTCGCCTGCAGATGACTTTGTCGCCAGTTTGGATATTATTTGGGTCTGTCTCCTTTGATCGCATCAAAACTGCAGAAGTCCTTTTTAGTCCTTTTGGTTGTGTGCAATGCTAAGCTACTTTATTTGGTACAAATAACCTAGTCACAATTATAACCTAAAGCTCTGGGGATACTGGCTAAATGTGGCAATTTTTGATTATTTTTTTTGCTAAAAAACTGATAATGATGATCTTCTTACCACCTCAATCATTGACACATCATGTTGTTGCAGTTTCTCTAATTTGATCATTCCATCTCGCTCTTGGTCCACCTTTTGCTCTACTTCCTTGTCCTCTTCTGGTGTATTTCTTGTATGGTACAGCATCAGCAGGCATTCTCTCCAAGTGGGCAAACCATTTGATTTGCTGTCTTTGTTTGTAGTTTAGAACTGGTTCTGTGACTTCTTCTCTTATGACCACATTCCTGATTTGATCTCTTCTGGTCCTCTGGTCACTCCTGCAATACAACTGTGCTACCAGTGCCAAACATGGACAATAACAACGACAGAAAAAGGAGAACTGAAAAAAAGAAATAAAATGTTTATGATGAGTCTTAAAGCTCAAATATTTTAGTCATATCAAGCGCCACGGTGGATTGAAAAAAATAACAGCAGAAGGCATTTTACCATGAAAGAAGGGCAGGGGCAGACCAACACAAAGATAGGCTCAGGATATAAGTGACTCCTTGGATATGAAAGTACACGAGGCAGGAGAGCTGGTGAGAGACCGAGTTTCTTTTCAGGCAGATGGTGATGAGAGCAATATTCTGCAAAGGACCTGCTACATGATGATGATTATGAATCCTAAGTGTAAAAAGAGATGGAATCAGAAATGACAATATCAGGATACAAGCTGGGATAAAGCAGTGCTAAACTACATCCAGGGTCAAGAGATCAAATGGCTTGGTCATATGTCATGTCTACCACAAGATACTGCAAGCACAAACAGCTTTGTCACTCTCGTTACTTGACATATCAAAAGCAGAGCAAACAAATCTATATACTGAATATATATAACATAACCCTTGACCCCTTAGGGTCATGGAGGTGTATCGCTGGAAGCACAAGCACCCAAAACCTGTCATCTTTCTCTGTCTTCTGCTTGTCGAACAAATGTATAGTTATCTAGTCCTGTCCATTCCTTGATGTCAACTCAGTTTCTTCTTTGCCTCCTCTTATTTGTTTACCACACCTCCCCCCTCTTCCTTCAATGTTCCTTGAAGCATAGTCTGAATATCCAAGGCTGTAAATACTAGCATTTATGGAGCACACGCCAAGTTTTGCCCTGCCTCTTCTTCATCTACTTCTTCTTTTTTCTTCTTCTTCTAAGCACTCACCGGCTGTAAACTCTGGTAGAATGTTTTGGTTGTTCAGCTACTCCTGGACTTTGGTCTTGTCCCAGAACTTCCGTTGTGCATTAAAAAAAAAGCAAAGATTCCTTTTTACACCTTAGGCGCTTTGGGCATATGGAAAAAGCATCCATATTTTTACAGATCAATCGGCACTAGGTGGGTAATGTGGTCAGCAGTATGTCAGCTGTCTTTACTTTCCCAGGACATAAATCCTGGTACCCATTTAAGGCTGGGTCGACCATACCATGATAAAAATCCACGCAGCCAGCAGTGGGTTTCAACTGCAGTACGCTGGAATTACGAGTCAGACTCGCAACGCCTAAGCCACGGACGCCACTCCGTTGTGCATGCACATCTATTATACAGATCTGGTTTGTTTCTCGCCTCTCAAACAGATCAACACTTGACTTCAAAGAAAACATCCATAATTAGTCTTTTTTCCCCCAAAATGGGACCCGGAACGTACAGGAGAGGATGTCTCTTCAACCTCTGAGGCTTAAAGGTAGAAAGAAATAAAGGTGGAGAAAGGACAAGAGAAGACAAAAAATGCTGTGAATAGCATTCGTTAAGTGATATCTGCAGGGAATCAAAGGCATTCAATGGGGTGAGAAAATATGGATAACATCATGATAACAAGGAAGTTTGAGGGAAAGAAAGGCAGAAGGACAGCAAGAGATGAGTATGGAAGAATGTATCAGAAATGATTGACAGAAGATATGCTCTTCAGTGATTAATTAGTGCACTTCATGTACAACTGGCTTAGATATCTATAAGTTTCCCTGTGCACTTCACACACAAATGGCTTAGATATCTATAAGTTTCCCTGTGCACTTCATACACAACCGGCTTAGATATCTATAAGTTACCCTGTGCACTTCATATACGACCGGCTTAGATATCTTTAAGTTTCCCTGTGCACTTCATATACAACCAGCTAAGATATCTATGTTTCCTTGTGCACCTCACACACAACCGGCTTAGATATCTATAAGTTTTCCTGTGCACTTCAGTTGCAACTGGCCTAGTTATCTCTAATTTACACCATGCACTTCAGTTACAATGTGCTTGTATATCTCTAAGTTACACTGTGCACTTCAGATACGATTTTCCTGTATATCCTTAAGTTACACTGAAACTTCAGTTACAATTTGCCTGTATATCACGAAGTTACACTGTATACTTCAGTTACAACTAGCCTAGCTACCTCCAAGTTACACTGAGCACTTCAGTTACAACTGCTTGTATATCTCTTAGTTACACTGTATACTTCAGTTACAACTAGCCTAGCTAGCTCCAAGTTACACTGAGCACTTCAGTTACAACTGCTTGTATATCTCTTAGTTACACTGTATACTTCAGTTACAACTAGCCTAGCTACCTCCAAGTTACAATGAGCACTTCAGTTACAACTGCTTGTATATCTCTTAGTTACACTGTGTACTTCAGTTACAAATGGCCCAGCTTCCTCTAAGCTATACTATGCACTCCAGTTCCAACTGGCTAAGACATCCATGTGTTACCCTGTGCACTTCAGCCATATTTTCCACAAAGCATAAACACCATAGCTATAGCAATGATCAATAGGGATGTTAATTTAAACAACTGTATACAAGAAATAAATTATACTTCACCACAAAGATCTCTAAACAAAAACACACACAAAAACAAACAACAACTGAAATCACAAACCATGATGGCCATGAGTGTCAGCACGTGGCTGTGCTTCATGATCATGAAGGCTACAGACATCCAGGGCATGCGTTTCATGGCCCCCTCTTGTGTAGTCAACGATTCCGTGGTAGACTCCATCTCCACCAGCACCAGACCCCTCACCTCTGATTCCTGACCAGGTTGCCAACAGAAGTGTGTATGTTTAACTGTTGTCTCCTTAACTGTCGCAAACTTTTCAGACAGTCGTAAACTCTTCTGTCCCAGAAAGTCACTAACTCCCAGACAGTCAAAAACTCTTCTGTCCCAGACAGTCACAAACTCTTCTGTCCCAAACTCCCAGACAGTCAAGAACTCTTCTGTACCAGACAGTCATAAACTCTTCTGTCCCAGACAGTCATAAACTCTTATGTCCCAGACAGTCACAAACTCTTATGTCCCAGACAGTCACAAACTCTTCTGTCCCAGACAGTCATAAACTCTTATGTCCCAGACAGTCACAAACTCTTCTGTCCCAGACAGTCATAAACTCTTCTGTCCCAGACAGTCATAAATTCTTATGTCCCAGACAGTCACAAACTCTTATGTCCCAGACAGTCACAAACTCTTATGTCCCAGACAGTCACAAACTCTTATGTCCCAGACAGTCACAAACTCTTATGTCCCAAACTCCCAGACAGTCAAGAACTCTTCTGTACCAGACAGTCATAAACTCTTCTGTCCCAGACAGTCATAAACTCTTATGTCCCAGACAGTCACAAACTCTTATGTCCCAGACAGTCACAAACTCTTATGTCCCAGACAGTCACAAACTCTTCTGTCCCAGACAGTCATAAACTCTTATGTCCCAGACAGTCACAAACTCTTCTGTCCCAGACAGTCATAAACTCTTCTGTCCCAGAGAGTCATAAACTCTTCTGTCCCAGACAGTCATAAACTCTTCTGTCCCAGACAGTCATAAAACTCTTCTGTCCCAGACAGTCATAAACTCTTCTGTCCCAGACAGTCACATACTCCCAGACAGTCATTAAATCTTATGTCTCAGACAGTCACAAACTCTCAGACAGTCATAAGCTCTTCTGTCCCAGTCATAAACTCTTTCGTCTCAGACAGTCACAAACTCTTCTGTCCCAAACAGTCACAAACTTCCCGACAGTCATAAACTCTTCTGTCCCAGACAGTCATAAACTCTTCTGTCCCAAACAGTCACAAACTTCCCGACAGTCATAAACTCTTCTGTCCCAGACAGTCACAAACTCTTCTGTCCCAAACAGTCACAAACTTCCCGACAGTCATAAACTCTTATGTCCCAGACAGTCATAAACTCTTCTGTCCCAGACAGTCATAAACTCTTCTGTCCCAGACAGTCATAAACTCTTCTGTCCCAGACAGTCATAAACTCTTCTGTCCCAGACAGTCATAAATTCTTCTGTCCCAGACAGTCACAAACTTCCCGACAGTCATAAACTCTTCTGTCCCAGACAGTCATAAACTCTTCTGTCCCAGACAGTCATAAACTCTTCTGTCTCAGACATTCACAAACTCACAGACAGTCATAAACTCTTTTGTCCCAGACAGTCACAAACTCTCCCACAGTCATAAACTAGTCAAAAACTCTTCTGTCCCAGACAGTCACAAACTCTTTTGTCCCAGACAGTCATAAACTCTTCTGTCCCAGACAGTCATAAACTCTTCTGTCCCAGACAGTCATAAACTCTTCTGTCCCAGACAGTCATAAACTCTTCTGTCCCAGACAGTCATAGACTCTTTTGTCCCAGACAGTCACAAACTCCCAGACTGCCATAAACTCTACTGTCCCAGACAGTCACATACTCCCTGACAGTCATAAACTCTTCTGTCCCAGACAGTCATAGACTCTTCTGTCCCAGACAGTCACAAACTCTCAGACAGTCATAAACTTTTCTGTCCCAGTCACAAACTCCCAGACAGTCATAAAATCTTCTGTCCCAGACAGTCACAAAGTCCCAGACTGTCATAAACTCTTCTGTCTCAGACAGTCAAAAACTCTCAGACAGTCATAAACTTTTCTGTCCCAGACAGTCACATACTCCCAGACTGTCAAAAACTCTTTTGTCCCAGTCACATACTCCCAGACTGTCATAAACTCTTCTGTCCCAGTCACATACTCCCAGACAGTCATAAACTCTTCTGTCCCAGTCATATATTCCCAGACAGTCATAAACTCTTCTGTCCCAGACAGTCACAAACTCTCAGACAGTCATAAACTGTTCTGTCCCAGACAGTCACATACTCCCAGACACTCATTACCTCTTCTGTGCTAGTCACTTACTCCCAGACAGTCATAAAATCTTCTGTCCCAGACAGTCACAAACTCCCAGACTGCCATAAACTCTTCTGTCCCAGATTGTCACAAACTCTCAGTCAGTCATAAACTCTTCTGTCCCAGACAGTCACAAACTCCCAGACAGTCATAAACTCTTCTGTCCCAGATTGTCACAGATTCTCAGACAGTCATAAACTCTTCTGTCCCAGACAGTCACAAACTCTCAGACAGTCATAAACTCTTCTGTCCCAGACAGTCACAAACTCTCAGACAGTCATAAACTTTTCTGTCCCAGACAGTCACAAACTCCCAGACAGTCATAAACTCTTCTGTCCCAGTCACATACTCCCAGACAGTCATAAAATCTTCTGTCCCAGACAGTCACAAAGTCCCAGACTGTCATAAACTCTTCTGTCTCAGTCAAAAACTCTCAGACAGTCATAAACTCTTCTGTCCCAGACAGTCACATACTCTCAGACTGTCATAAACTCTTCTGTCCCAGTCACATACTCCCAGACTGTCATAAACTCTTCTGTCCCAGTCACATACTCCTAGACAGTCATAAACTCCTCTTTCCCAGTCATATACTCTCAGACAGTCATAAACTCTTCTGTCCCAGTCACATATTCCCAGACAGTCATAAACTCTTCTGTCCCAGACAGTCACAAACTCTCAGACAGTCATAAACTGTTCTGTCCCAGACAGTCTCATACTCCCAGACAGTCATAAACTCTTCTGTCCCAGTCACATACTCCCAGACACTCATAAAATCTCTGTCCCAGACAGTCACAAACTCCCAGACAGTCATAAACTCTTCTGTCCCAGATTGTCACAAACTCTCAGACAGTCATAAACTCTTCTGTCCCAGATTGTCACAAACTCTCAGACAGTCATAAACTCTTCTGTCCCAGATTGTCACAAACTCTCAGACAGTCATAAACTCTTCTGTCCCAGATTGTCACAAACTCTCAGACAGTCACAAACTCCCAGACAGTCATAAACTCTTCTGTCCCAGATTGTCACAAACTCTCAGACAGTCATAAACTCTTCTGTCCCAGATTGTCACAAACTCTCAGACAGTCATAAACTCTTCTGTCCCAGACAGTCACATACTCCAAGACTGTCATAAACTCTTCTGTCCCAGACAGTCACATACTCCAAGACTGTCATAAACTCTTCTGTCCCAGTCACATACTCCCAGATAGTCATAAAATCTTCTGTCCTAGACAGTCACATACTCCCAGACTGCACTTGGTCAATCCTATAGATAGAGCACATTGCCTTGCTTCAACATGTAGACTGCACTTGGTCAATCCTATAGATAGAGCACATTGTCTGGCTTCAACATGTAGACTGCACTCGGTCAATCCTATAGATAGAGCACATTGTTATGTTTCAACATGTAGACTGCACTCGGTCAATCCTATAGATAGAGCACATTGTCTGGCTTCAACATGTAGACTGCACTCGGTCAATCCTATAGATAGAGCACATTGTCTTGCTTCAACATGTAGACTGCACTCGGTCAATCCTATAGATAGAGCACATTGTCTGGCTTCAACATGTAGACTGCACTTGGTCAATCCTATAGATAGAGCACATTGTCATGTTTCAACATGTAGACTGCACTTGGTCAATCCTATAGATACAGAACATTGTCATGTTTCAACATGTAGACCACACTTGGTTAATCCTATAGATAGAGCACATTGCTATGCTTCAACATGTAGACTGCACTCGGTCAATCCTATAGATAGAGCACATTGCCTTGCTTCAACATGTAGACCGCACTCAGTTAATCCTATAGATAGAGCACATTGCCTTGCTTCAACATGTAGACCGCACTCAGTTAATCCTATAGATAGAGCACATTGCCTTGCTTCAACATGTAGACCGCACTCAGTTAATCCTATAGATAGAGCACATTGCCTTGCTTCAACATGTAGACTGCACTCGGTCAATCCTATAGATAGAGCACATTGCCTTGCTTCAACATGTAGACCGCACTCAGTCAATCCTATAGATAGAGCACATTGCCATGCTTCGACATGTAGACTGCACTTGGTCAATCCTATAGATAGAGCACATTGCCATGCTTCGACATGTAGACTGCACTTGGTCAATCCTATAGATAGAGCACATCGCCATGCTTCAACATGCTGACTGCGCTTGGTCAATCATATAGATACAGCACATCGCCATGCTTCAACATGTAGATCACATCCGCTCACATTTGCTTGTTGGCTATTTGTCGCCGAGTGGTATCTCACAATGTTGACAACTCAGGTTAACACAGATGGCCTGGCTATTCCTTGCATACTTCAAGCCCACCCTTTCCATCCGCAAGTCTTCAAGCCCACCCTTTCCATCCGCAGGTCTTCAAGCCCACCCTTTCCATCCGCAGGTCTTCAAGCACACCCTTTCCATCTGCAGGTCTTCAAGCACACCCTTTCCATCCGCAGGTCTTCAAGCCCACCCTTTCTATCCGCAGGTCTTCAAGCCCACTCTTTACATCCGCAGGTCTTCAAGTCCACCCTTTCCGTCCGCAGGTCTTCAAGCTCACCCTTTCCGTCCGCAGGTCTTCAATCCCACCCTTTCCATCCGCAGGTCTTCAAGCACACCCTTTCCATCCGCAGGTCTTCAAGCCCACCCTTTCCATCCGCAGGTCTTCAAGCACACCCTTTCCGTCCGCAGGTCTTCAAGCACACCCTTTCCATCCGCAGGTCTTCAAGCCCACCCTTTCCATCCGCAGGTCTTCAAGCCCACCCTTTCCATCCGCAGGTCTTCAAGCCCACCCTTTCCGTCCGCAGGTCTTCAAGCCCACCCTTTCCGTCCGCAGGTCTTCAAGCACACCCTTTCCATCCGCAGGTCTTCAAGAAGGCCCTTTTTATCCACATGTCTTCAAGCACACCCTTTCCACCCGAAGGTCTTCAAGCACACTTTTTTTATCCCCATGTCTTCAAGCACACCTTTTTTATCCGCATGTTTTCAAGCACACCCTTTCCATCCAAAAGTCTCACACAGACTGACTTTCCCTTTCTCTCTCCTGAGCTCATTCCTTTTTCTCACACCTGATTCTGTCAAACTATTTACTCTCACGCGTAAATTCGAATTCCCTTGATTTATCGCAGACTTCACATACTTGGACAACAGTTTTCTAGCTGACCTTTCACCTGTAACCTATGCTACCTGGAAACTCCCTCTGACCTCTGCTGACGATGGGTTTTTCAATTTAGTTTCACTGCATGGATGATTTAATGATGTGAACGCTTAGAAGGAGAGTGAAGGATGATTAACGATACCAACACGAGAAGGAGAGTACATGATGATTAACGATGTGAATTCTAAGAGGGATAGTATTGGATTATTAAATATGTGAACTCTAAGAGGGATAGTATAGGATTATTAACAATGTGAACTCTATGAAGGAGAGTTACGATGTGAACTCTAGGAAGGAGAGTGCAAGATGATTAACAATATAAACCCTGAGAAGGAAAGTATAGAATAAATAATGATGTAAACGCTGAGATGGAGAGTGTAGGACGAATAATGATGTGTATGCTGAGAAGAAGGGTAAAGGATGATCAATGATGTGAACTCTAAGAGGGAGAGTATAGGATGATTAACAATGTGATTGCTAAGAATGAGAGTATAGAATGATTAATGATGTGTACTCTAAGGAGGAGAGTATAGGATGATTAATGATGTGAACACTAAGAATGAGAGTATAGGATGATTAATGATATGAACTCTAAGAAGAAGAGTATAGGATGATTAATTATGTGGACACTAAATCGGAGAGTATAGGATAATAAATGATGTTAATGCTGCGGAGAGTATAGGATGATTAATGATGTGAACACTAAGAAGGAGAGTACAGGATGATTAATGATATGAACTCTAAGAAGGAGAGTACAGGATGATTAATGATATGAACTCTAAGAAGGAGAGTATCAGATGATTACAAATGTGAACACTAACAAGGCAAAAAAATTATTTTTTTGTTTAATTAAAAAAAAAACTCTAGCATACCTTATCCCGGTTAGCCCGAAGGAAGGTGCCTTGTGCATCTTGTACGAATGATGGATGACCATCTTCCAAGTGCTATAGCCAAACATGATATCAATGCCCCTGGTATTAATCTTCGTTAAATGTTTTAGACCAATGGAAATATGTCTCCCATTTTAAAAGCATTTTTAAAAAAAAATGGTTTTTTCCCTCTTTTAAAGCATTTGAAATATGTTTTTGTCTTTTAGAGTATTCAAACTGGGCTTTTCTCTGACTACTTTCTGACAAAAGTAAATGAATCTTGCATAGTCAGCTGATTGACAGAAAAATCTAGAAGCTGTCAAATTGTGGATTTACCGAAAAATCACCAGTAGACCATGGACAAATTAAAAAGTGTAATGAAATCAACCAAGCGGCTGAACAACCAGAATTTTCTGCTAGAGTTTACAGTCAATGAATATGAAGGGAAAAAAAGCAATCTGCAGTCTATGGTCATATTGTGGGAAGGGAAAACTGGAGTACATTGTGACAACTGGAAATATGGGAGGGAGGACAAATTAAAAAGTGTAACGGAAATGTCTTGAAGGGAATTAACTCCTGAAGAGAAATTTTTTTTTGAATCAGAAAAAGGACACCTCTGCAGTACTTGGTGATATTGTGAGGAGGGAAAACTGGAGTACATCGTGATAACATGAAAGACGGAGATGAGGACAAATTGAAAAGCTTGAAAGCAATTAACTTCTGAAGAGAAATTATTATAATCTGAATCAGGAGATAATTTGCATTCTTTTGTCATATCGCGAGAAAAAGAACTGATATTCATTGTGTCAACAGAAAAGATGGAGGAGAGATAAGGAAGACCAAGGAAGAAGATGTTGGACAGTTTAGCATCATGGCTGCCTCATAAAAATGGATACTAGGCAATTTTGAGAATGTTTTAAAGGAATTTAAGAAAATGAGGGGAATTGTGGTAGTGTTATGGCTGCCAGTCTGACGGGTCTTGAAGTCAAATCTGCGTCAAGGCAGATGTTTTAAGAATTTGACCATAGCTCCCAAGTCATCACAGCCTAAAATTGCTACCAGGTCATGTTCTGGGAAGTAAAGATAGCCTGCATAAAGTTGTCCTAAATCCCCAAGCAAGTGCCGACTGGTCTTTAAAAATATGAGCCTATGCCTGATGTGCCACTGGCATAAAATAGGTCCTTTTCTCTTGCTTACTTCACTGTCGTACCTTGGCTTCGGCATCTGTGGCTTAGGCACTGTGAGCATGCTTCGTAATTCTGATGTACTGGGTTCGATCTCTGCTGCAGGTGATTTGGCAGCAGACAGCCTTGCACTAGCTTTGACAGTGGTATTGAGACCCGACCTTTCAGAAAGCAGTGACAAACTACAGAACGTAAAATTACCAAGCAAAATGTCAAAGCCTGCTGGGGCTGGTTCTGCAGCATCCTGTAAAGACCATGCACCTAACTCAACTATTTGACTAAAGGCAAAGAGGATGGTCCCCGATTCCCACCCCCCCCCCCCTCCTTTTCCCCAATACTAGGGCTATTAAACTGTTGGCCCACAGGACAAAGCTGGCTTGCTGAAGCCCAACAAGTGGCCCATGAAACATTACTATGTTTATTGTATTAATGATGGTTCTATGCTAGGGCTCCAGCCTCTGGCCCATGACAATCCCAACGTTCAAAATGTTGGTCCCTGAGTAAATTTAGTTGAATAGCCAGGGTGTATGTGATGAACTATAATATGTGAAAGTCTAATATTTCAACATTCAATGGCAGTCTTTGATTGGTTGGTCTTTCCGCCTGAGGTGGCACATAGGGCAGAGGTCATAGCTCTCCATGTCTGGTGGTTCGTTGGCACCTGATTTAGCTCTTGGATATTCATTAGGCCCACGGTTGAGCCTTCCCTAATGATGGTTCTACGCAGAGCCTCTCCCGTCTTCTTTTTCCTTCCGGTGTCCATACGAGGGCTTGATACGGAAGTCTTGTCCTATCCATTCTGAGTGAATGGTAAATGTAATTCCAACGGCACTTTCTCATAAAATATGGCACATTTTCTTGCTTGGTCTCTTGTCCTATTTGCGTGTTGGATTTGAAATCTGTCCTGTGGAGATTTAGTATTCTTCTAAGACATTTGTTCTCAAAATTGTCAAACTTTTTATCAAGAGCTACTGTTGCTTTCCACCTCTTGCATCCTCAAAGACTTTGATATGGAATTACATTTATCTGTGATAGCTTCTTAGGAAAGTGAATAATGACAACTGCCTTTGTTGGGAGAGTTCACAGGCAATAGAACATGATATAACAGTTGAATGATCATAGGGGCAGTGGTGGTAGTAGAGTTGATGATAAACCTATTCACAGACCCCATACTGGTAGTAAATCTATTTTTACCTCAATATAATACAGTCAAATGATGATGATGACGACAAAATTATTTCCAAATCACCAACTAAATGTATATGCACCTCTATCAAACATAGCCACATGATGATACTGCTGAGAAAGAGGTTATTCCTAAACCCCTGACTAAATGTATAAGCACCTCTATCAAATATAGCCACATGATGATGATGCTGATGAAGAGGTTATTCCTAAACCACTGACTAAATGTACATGCACCTCTATCAAATATAGCCACAAGATGATGATGCTGACAAAGAGGTTATTCCTAAACCCCTGACTAAATGTATAAGCACCTCTATCAAATATAGCCACATGATAATGATGCTGACAAAGAGGTTATTCCTAAACCCCTGACTAAATGTATATGCACCTCTATCAAATATAGCCACATGATTAGCTGCTGAGAAAGAGGTTATTCCTAAACCACTGACTAAATGTATATGCACCTCTATCAAATATAGCCACATGATAATGATGCTGACAAAGAGGTTATTCCTAAACCCCTGACTAAATGTATATGCACCTCTATCAAATATAGCCACATGATTAGCTGCTGAGAAAGAGGTTATTCCTAAACCCCTGACTAAATGTATATGCACCTCTATCAAATATAGCCACATGATGATGTTGCTGACGAAGAGGTTATTCCTAAACCACTGACTAAATGTATATGCACCTCTATCAAAAATAGCCACATGATGCTGCTGAGGAGAAAGAGGTTATTCCTAAACCCCTGACTAAATGTACATGCACCTCTATCAAATATAGCCACATGATGATGATGCTGATGAAGAGGTTATTCCTAAACCCCTGACTAAATGTATATGCACCTCTATCAAATATAGCCACATGTTGATGGTGCTAATGAAGAGGTTATTCCTAAACCACTGACTAAATGTATATGCACCTCTATCAAATATAGCTACATGTTGATGATGCTGATGAAGAGGTTATTCCTAAACTTTTGACTAAATGTATGTGCACCTCTATCAAATACAGCCACATGATGATGCTAATGATGAAGAGGTTATTCCTAAACCCCTGACTAAATGTATATGCACCTCTATGAAATATAGCCACATTTTGAAGATGCTGATTATTCCCAAACCGCTGACAAAATTGATACAACTGACTCACCTCCACCCAGTGTAGCCAGATGTTTATGTTGATGGTTTCGATCAAGTAGAGGAACAAGAGCACCACTGGATTGACAGCAGCAGACCACTTGATGTTTGGGTAGAAGAGTATTTTACTGAGCTCATTACATTTGGTCTGGATAATTCCTGGCAGACCAAGAAGTCTGTGGATGGCAAACATAACTGTCACTACAGAATCGGGTACATATCACGAAAAACACCCCATCCCATCTGGCGCAAGATTTCTCACAGGTTGTCTTATGTTCTTGGGGTGTCATGATATGTTATTTTCAATGCTATAAGCATTCTATATTCCATATTGTGAGTGGCCAGTACATTCTATCTTCCATGTTGTGAGTGGCCAGTACATTCTATATTCCGTTGTGAGCGGCCAGTACATTCTATCTTCCATGTTGTGAGTGGCCAGCACATTCTATCTTCCATGTTGTGAGTGGACTGCACATTCTATCTTCCATGTTGTGAGTGGCCAGCACATTCTATCTTCCATGTTGTGAGTGGCCAGCCCATTCTATCTTCCATTTTGTGAGTGGACTGCACATTCTATCTTCCATGTTGTGAGTGGCCAGCACATTCTATCTTCCATGTTGTGAGTGGCCAGCACATTCTATCTTCCATGTTGTGAGTGGCCAGCACATTCTATCTTCCATGTTGTGAGTGGACTGCACATTCTATCTTCCATGTTGTGAGTGGCCAGCACATTCTATCTTCCATGTTGTGAGTGGCCAGCACATTCTATCTTCAATATTGTGAGCGGCCAGCACATTCTATCTTCCATGTTGTGAGTGGCCAGCACATTCTATCTTCCATGTTGTGAGCGGCCAGCACATTCTATCTTCCATGTTGTGAGTGGCCAGCACATTCTATCTTCCATGTTGTGAGTGGCCAGCACATTCTATCTTCCATGTTGTGAGTGGACTGCACATTCTATCTTCCATGTTGTGAGTGGACTGCACATTCTATCTTCCATGTTGTGAGTGGCCAGCACATTCTATCTTCCATGTTGTGAGTGGCCAGCACATTCTATCTTCCATGTTGTGAGCGGTCAGCACATTCTATCTTCCATGTTGTGAGTGGACTGCACATTCTATCTTCCATGTTGTGAGTGGCCAGCACATTCTATCTTCCATGTTGTGAGTGGACTGCACATTCTATCTTCCATGTTGTGAGTGGCCAGCACATTCTATCTTCCATGTTGTGAGTGGCCAGCACATTCTATCTTCCATGTTGTGAGTGGACTGCACATTCTATCTTCCATGTTGTGAGTGGCCAGCACATTCTATCTTCCATGTTGTGAGTGGCCAGCACATTCTATCTTCCATGTTGTGGGTGGCCAGCACATTCTATCTTCCATGTTGTGAGTGGCCAGCACATTCTATCTTCCATGTTGTGAGTGGCCAGCACATTCTATATTCCATGTTGTGAGTGGACTGCACATTCTATATTCCATGTTGTGAGTGGCCAGCACATTCTATATTCCATGTTGTGAGTGGACTGCACATTCTATCTTCCATGTTGTGAGCAGCCAGCACATTCTATCTTCCATGTTGTGAGTGGCCAGCACATTCAATCTTCCATGTTGTGAGTGGCCAGCACATTCTATCTTCCATGTTGTGAGTGGACAGCACATTCTATCTTCCATGTTGTGAGTGGCTAGCACATTCTATATTCCATGTTGTGAGTGGACTGCAAATTCTATCTTCCATGTTGTGAGCAGCCAGCACATTCTATCTTCTATGTTGTGAGTGGCCAGCACATTCTATCTTCCATGTTGTGGGTGGCCAGCACATTCTATCTTCCATGTTGTGAGTGGACTGCACATTCCATCTTCCATGTTGTGAGTGGCCAGCACATTCTATCTTCCATGTTGTGAGTGGCCAGAACATTCTATCTTCCATGTTGTGAGTGGCCAGCACTGTGTTGAGACTTGAGTGTTGTGTGCACATCCATCTTGCAGACCTCTCGTATATTCATGCAGACTGTTAGTCCCTTACCTTGCAGGCAGATGTATGCTGACCTCAAAGAAAATTTCAATTATATCTACATTAGCCTCAATTTAGCCACAGTAACATACCCACTGCCTCCATTTAGCCACAGTAACATAACACTGCCTCCATTTAGCCACAGTAACATACACACTGCCTTGATTTAGCCACAGAAACATACATACACTGCCTCCATTGAACCACAGTAACATACCCACTGCCTCCATTTAGCCACAGAAACATACACACACTGCCTCCATTTAGCCACAGTAAAACACATACTGCCTCTATTTAGCCATGGTAACATACACACTGCCTCCATTCAGCCACAGTAACACACATACTGCCTCCATTCAGCCACAGTAACACACATACTGCCTCCATTCAGACACAGTAACACACATACAGCCTCCATTTAGCCACAGTAACACACATACTGCCTCCATTCAGCCACAGTAACACACATACTGCCTCCATTTAGCCACAGTAACACACATACTGGCTCCATTCAGCTACAGTAACACACATACTGCCTCCATTTAGCCACAGTAACACACATACTGGCTCCATTCAGCCACAGTAACACACATACTAGCTCCATTCAGCCACAGTAACACACATACTAGCTCCATTCAGCCACAGTAACACACATACTGGCTCCATTCAGCCACAGAAACACACATACTGGCTCCATTCAGCCACAGTAACACACATACTGCCTCGATTCAGCCACAGTAACACACATACTGGCTCCATTCAGCTACAGTAACACACATACTGCCTCCATTTAGCCACGGTAACACACATACTGGCTCCATTCAGCCACAGTAACACACATACTGGCTACATTCAGCCACAGTAACACACATACTGGCTCCATTCAGCCACAGTAACACACATACTGGCTCCATTCAGCCACAGTAACACACATACTCGCTCCATTCAGCCACAGTAACACACATACTGGCTCCATTCAGCCACAGTAACACACATACTGCCCTCATTTAGCCACAGTAATACACATACTGCCTCCATTCAGCCACAGTAACACATATACTGCCCCCATTTAGCCACAGTAATACACATACTGCCCCCATTCAGCCACAGTAATACACATACTGCTTCCATTTAACCACAGTAACACACATACTGGCTCCATTCAGCCACAGTAACACACATACTGCCTCCATTCAGCCACAGTAACACACATACTGCCTCCATTCAGCCACAGTAACACACATACTGCCTCCATTCAGCCACAGTAACACACATACTGGCTCCATTCAGCCACAGTAACACACATACTGGCTCTATTCAGCCACAGTAACACACATACTGGCTCCATTCAGCCACAGTAACACACATACTGGCTCCATTCAGCCACAGTAACACACATACTGCCTCCATTCAGCCACAGTAACACACATACTGCCTTCATTCAGCCACAGTAACACACATACTGCCTCCATTCAGCCACAGTAACACACATACTGCCTCCATTCAGCCACAGTAACACACATACTGGCTCCATTCAGCCACAGTAACACACATACTGGCTCCATTCAGCCACAGTAACACACAAACTGGCTCCATTCAGCCACACTAACACACATACTGGCTCCATTCAGCCACAGTAACACACATACTGGCTCCATTCAGCCACAGTAACACACATACTGGCTCTATTCAGCCACAGTAACACACATACTGCCTCCATTCAGCCATGGTAACATACATACTGCCTCCATTTAGCACGGTAACATACATACTGCCTCCATTCAGCCACAGTAACACACATACTGCCTCCATTCAGCCACAGTAAAACACATCCTGCCTCCATTTAGCCACAGTAACATACATACTGCCTCCATTAAGCCACGGTAACACACATACTGCCTCCATTTAGCCAAAGTAACACACATACTGCCTCCATTCAGCCACAGTAACACACATACTGCCTCCATTCAGCCACAGTAACACACATACTGCCTCCATTTAGCCACAGTAACACACATACTGCCTCCATTCAGCCACAGTAACACACATACTGGCTCCATTCAGCCACAGTAACACACATACTGCCTCCATTCAGCCACAGTAACACACATACTGGCTCCATTCAGCCACAGTAACACACAAACTGGCTCCATTCAGCCACACTAACACACATACTGGCTCCATTCAGCCATAGTAACACACATACTGGCTCCATTTAGCCACAGTAACACACATACTGGCTCTATTCAGCCACAGTAACACACATACTGCCTCCATTCAGCCATGGTAACATACATACTGCCTCCATTTAGCACGGTAACATACATACTGCCTCCATTCAGCCACAGTAACACACATACTGCCTCCATTCAGCCACAGTAAAACACATCCTGCCTCCATTTAGCCACAGTAACATACATACTGCCTCCATTTAGCCACGGTAACACACATACTGCCTCCATTTAGCCAAAGTAACACACATACTGCCTCCATTCAGCCACAGTAACACACATACTGCCTCCATTCAGCCACAGTAACACACATACTGCCTCCATTTAGCCACAGTAACACACATACTGCCTCCATTCAGCCACAGTAACACACATACTGGCTCCATTCAGCCACAGTAACACACATACTGCCTCCATTCAGCCACAGTAACACACATACTGCCTCCATTTAGCCAAAGTAACATACATACTGGCTCCATTCAGCCACAGTAACACACATACTAGCTCCATTCAGCCACAGTAACACACATACTGGCTCCATTTAGCCACAGTAACACACATGCTGGCTCCATTCAGCCACAGTAACACACATACTGGCTCCATTCAGCTACAGTAACACACATACTGCCTCCATTCAGCCATGGTAACCTACATACTGCCTCCATTTAGCCACAGTAACATTTAGATTGCCTCCATTCAGCCACAGTAACATACATACTGCCTCCATTTAGCCACAGTAACATTTAGATTGCCTCCATTCAGCCACAGTAACACACATACTGCCTCCATTTAGCCACAGTAACACACACTTACTGCCTACATTCAGCCACAGTAACACACATACTGCCTCCATTCAGCCACAGTAACACACATACTGCCTCCATTCAGCCACAGTAACACACACACTGCCTACATTTAGCCACAGTAACTTACATACTGGCTCCATTCAGCCACAGTAACACACATACTGCCTCCATTCAGCCACAGTAAAACACATACTGCCTCCATTTAGCCACAGTAACATACATACTACCTCAATTTAGCCACGGTAACACACATACTGCCTCCATTTAGCCACAGTAACACACATACTGGCTCCATTCAGCCACAGTAACACACATACTGGCTCCATTCAGCCACAGTAACACACATACTGCCTCCATTCAGCCATGGTAACACACATACTGGCTCTATTCAGCCACAGTAACACACATACTGCCTCCATTTAGCCACAGTAACACACATACTGCCTCCATTCAGCCACAGTAACACACATACTGGCTCCATTCAGCCACAGTAACACACATACTGCCTCCATTCAGCCACAGTAACACACATACTGCCTCCATTTAGCCACAGTAACATACATACTGGCTCCATTCAGCCACAGTAACACACATACTGGCTCCATTTAGCCACAGTAACACACATAGCCTCCATTCAGCCACAGTAACACACATACTGGCTCCATTTAGCCACAGTAACACACATACTGGCTCCATTCAGCCACAGTAACACACATACTGGCTCCATTCAGCTACAGTAACACACATACTGCCTCCATTCAGCCATGGTAACATACATACTGCCTCCATTTAGCCACAAGAACATTTAGATTGCCTCGATTCAGCCACAGTAACATACATACTGCCTCCATTTAGCCACAGTAACATTTAGATTGCCTCCATTCAGCCACAGTAACACACATACTGCCTCCATTTAGTCACAGTAACACACATACTGCCTCCATTCAGCCACAGTAACACACATACTGCCTCCATTCAGCCACAGTAACACACATACTGCCTCCATTCAGCCACAGTAACACACATACTGCCTCCATTTAGCCACAGAAACATACATACTGGCTCCATTCAGCCACAGTAACACACATACTGCCTCCATTCAGCCACAGTAAAACACATACTGCCTCCATTTAGCCACAGTAACATACATACTGCCTCCATTTAGCCACGGTAACACACATACTGCCTCCATTCAGCCACAGTAACACACATACTGCCTCCATTCAGCCACAGTAACACACATACTGCCTCCATTCAGCCACAGTAACACACATACTGCCTCCATTTAGCCACAGTAACACACATACTGCCTCCATTCAGCCACAGTAACACACATACTGGCTCCATTCAGCCACACTAACACACATACTGCCTCCATTCAGCCACAGTAACACACACACTGCCTCCATTTAGCCACAGTAACATACATACTGGCTCCATTCAGCCACAGTAACACACATACTAGCTCCATTCAGCCACAGTAACATACATACTGGCTCCATTTAGCTACAGTAACACACATACTGGCTCCATTTAGCCACAGTAACACACATACTGGCTCCATTTAGCCACAGTAACACACATACTGGCTCCATTCAGCCACAGTAACACACATACTGGCTCCATTCAGCTACAGTAACACACATACTGCCTCCATTCAGCCATGGTAACATACATACTGCCTCCATTTAGCCACAGGAACATTTAGATTGCCTCCATTCAGCCACAGTAACATACATACTGCCTCCATTTAGCCACAGTAACATTTAGATTGCCTCCATTCAGCCACAGTAACACACATACTGGCTCCATTTAGCCACAGTAACACACATACTGGCTCCATTCAGCCACAGTAACACACATACTGGCTCCATTCAGCTACAGTAACACACATACTGCCTCCATTGAGCCATGGTAACATACATACTGCCTCCATTTAGCCACAGGAACATTTAGATTGCCTCCATTCAGCCACAGTAACATACATACTGCCTCCATTTAGCCACAGTAACATTTAGATTGCCTCCATTCAGCCACAGTAACACACATACTGCCTCCATTTAGCCACAGTAACACACATACTGCCTCCATTCAGCCACAGTAACACACATACTGCCTCCATTCAGCCACAGTAACACACATACTGCCTCCATTCAGCCACAGTAACACACATACTGCCTCCATTTAGCCACAGAAACATACATACTGGCTCCATTCAGCCACAGTAACACACATACTGCCTCCATTCAGCCACAGTAAAACGCATACTGCCTCCATTTAGCCACAGTAACATACATACTGCCTCCATTTAGCCACGGTAACACACATACTGCCTCCATTCAGCCACAGTAACACACATACTTCCTCCATTCAGCCACAGTAACACACATACTGGCTCCATTTAGCCACAGTAACACACATACTGGCTCCATTTAGCCACAGTAAGACACATACTGGCTCCATTTAGCCACAGTAACACACATAGCCTCCATTCTGCCACAGTAACACACATAGCCTCCATTCAGCCACAGTAACACACATAGCCTCCATTCAGCCACAGTAACATACATGCTGCCTCTATTTCAGCCACAAAACACGAGTCCACTCACCGAGCCAGCATACTGGCAGGAGGCATGGCCTCCTGGAAGAACTGGAACTGGTAGAGGTGCAGCAGCAAGATATGACAGCCTGTATACAGGAGCAGCAAAACTTGCAACAGCAGATAACGAGAACCCACGGACTTGAAGCATCCCCACATAGTCAGGCATATCAGCACCACTACAAAATAGACCTGTGGATACAGACAGCAGGGGCTGTTTGAATTGTGTTTGTTGGCTACATGTGTACTGTGGATATAGACAACAGGATTGTTTGAATTGTGTTTGTTGGCTACATGTGTACTGTGGATATAGACAACAGGATTGTCTGAATTGTGTTTGTTGGCTACATGTGTACTGTGGAAATAGACAACAGGATTGTCTGAATTGTGTTTGTTGGCTACATGTGTACTTTGGATATAGACAACAGGGGCTGTTTGAATTGTGTTCGTTGGTTATGTGTGTGTTGTGGATACAGACGACAGGACTGTCTGAATTGTGTTTGCTGGTTATGTGTGTACTGTGGAAATAGACAACAGGATTGTCTGAATTGTGTTTGTTGGCTACATGTGTACTGTGGAAATAGACAACAGGATTGTCTGAATTGTGTTTGTTGGCTACATGTGTACTTTGGATATAGACAACAGGGGCTGTTTGAACTGTATTTTTCGGTTATGTGTGTGCTGTGGATATAGACGACAGGATTGTCCGAATTGTTTTTGTCGGTTACCTGTGTGCTGTGGATATAGACGACAGGATTGTCTGAATTGTGTTTGTTGGCTACGTGTGTGCTGTGGATATAGACGACAGGATTGTCTGAATTGTGTTTGTTGGCTACGTGTGTACTGTGGACACAGACAACAGGACTGTCTGAAGAGGAAACTGTTGAACATAAAATGGGATGACTTCAAAAGAGGTGAAGAAATCAGAGAAATGTTTAACCAACCAATGGCATCAACAGTTACAAGACAGAGAAGATGATATTATAATGGACACATTTTGACTCTGCATGTGCAGCTACAAGATTGTGCTGGAACTGAAATATGTTTCACTAGTTTTTTTGGTGCTTTATTAATACCCTAGCCCAGATAACGCACAGGACAGTCCAACATTTTAGAGGGCGGTAAGACTGGGTTTCCAATCTTTCTGATGCTTTTAACGAACCTAAACATATAGAACTGCCCTAACCCCAACCCACCTACGTCCCACGAGAGTGCAGCCTAGGTCCCACGACTGCATGCAGCCTATCTACAACCCCCTTGAAATATTAGACTGTCCCGTGACCTGTGGATTTTCCCTGTTTGGAGTAGTATATTAATAAAGCACCTAGTTTTCAAATGAGGCAGTGAAGGACATTTTGTGGAATTTCAATTGGCACAGGTACTGAATGTTTTGGGGTGACCCCTGCAGTGATGGTAGAATCTCAACTAATGAGTTGCTAGCAACTTCTCCCCACCAATGACAAAGAGAGATTGCTAAGAATATTATTGCATGACCTACACCTCTGAAGTGGTAGGATAGCAACCAGATGTTCGCCTCATATGTCCCCATCCTTACCCACACGGGTCTAGAGGATACACCTGGCTGTATATGAGCCTAACATTATATGTCCCCATCCTTACCCACACAGGTCTACAGGATACATCTGACTGTATATGAGCCTAGCATCACATGTCCCCATCCTTACCCACACAGGTCTACAGGATACACCTGACTGTATATGAGCCTAGCATCATATGTCACCATCCTTACCCACACAGGACTACAGGATACAGCTGACTGTATATGAGCCTAGCATCATATGTCCCCATCCTTACCCACACTGAACTACAGGATATACAGTGCTGTATATGAGCCAAGCATCATATGTCCCCATCCTTACCCACACTGAACTACAGGATACACCTGGCTGTATATGAGCCTAGCATCATATATCTCCATTCTTACACACACTGAACTACAGGATACACCTGGCTGGTGTAGTCGTTAAGGGTGTCCTAATTATAACTTCTCTGGTGGTTGGGTGAGGTACCTGGAATCTGCCTTGTGGATCTGCCGACCAGATTGAGATTTTGTAAATCTCAGGATGGTATGGTAAATCTGTAGGTAGCAGCCCAGAAAGGACAAACTGATTGACCGATCGATCATATGCCCGATATGTCATTGGTATGAAAAGGTTTTTTTTTTCTTTTTTTTTTTGGTGTGTGTACTTACCCCTCCCAAAACTGAAGGAGCAATAATTCCGGCAGCCAGCAACATCAGGTTCTGTAAGTACTCAAAGAGCACCTGAATGCGGTGATAGATATTCTTACTCTGCTCCCCACCAGGCAGAGGAGACCCTGGTGTAACCAAGGTGTTCACCTGCAGGTCCCTCATTCTTGTAGATAGGACCATGGTGAGAATCGACATGAAGAAAATTAACACATCTGGCACAGTCAGGCGCAGGATGTTATACAGACTGGCTCCTTTTAAACTGAAATGATAGGAGGAGAAATGAAGAGATTAGAAAAACTAACACTGGATGATACTGGAGTTATGAATACCAGCAGTCAGAGAGACAATTGGAATAAGACCATGTCTGGGTTATACTGACAGACAGAGAATGAAATAGTTCAGCCATCTAGTGAGAATGCAGCCAGACCAGACTGCATATGAGACTTTTCACAGTATCTGGGAGGAAGGCGAGGGGAAGACCAAGAAAGAGATGGATAAATGATGTAGATAAAACCTATAAAAAGATGAACTAATCTATTAATCAAGCCACCCGAGAAGTGCCTGACAAATACACTACTGGGCTTTAACCTGTCGTGAGACGACAAAAGAAGAACTACCAAAACTTCTTCTGCTGCCTTGCTCTTAAAAGAGCTGTGTGCATATCCAATATACAGATCTAATTTACTTGTATGCAGACTGCTGGTTCCTCACCGCACGGGCAGGTGAACTCTGAATTAGAAAGAAACGCCCCAATAAACTGCTTTCTTTGGGACTTAATGGGATTATTTCTTTCCACTGAAATGGGATCATGAAACCCACATGGGGAAAATTGTAGATAATCTGGCAATGGGCCATTTAGTTCCAAAATGCAGGTAATTAACATATCATAACCCTTGACCTATTAGGGTCGTTGAGGCGTATCGATGGAAGTATTAGCACGCAAAACCTACTATTTTTCTCTGTCTTCCACGTGTTAACAGATGTATGATAATTTAGTCCAACAGATGTATGATAATTTGGTCCAACAGATGTACGATATTTTAGTGCAACAGATGTATGATAGTTTAGTCCAACAGGTGTATGATAATTTAGTCCAACAGGTGTATGATAATTTAGTCCAACAGGTGTATGATAATTTAGTCCAACAGATGTATGATAATTTGGTCCAACAGATGTACGATATTTTAGTCCAACAGATGTATGATAGTTTAGTCCAACAGATGTATGATAATTTAGTCCAACAGATGTATGATAATTTAGTCCAACAGATGTATGATAATTTAGTCCAACAGATGTATGATGATTTAGTCCAACAGATGTATGATAATTTAGTCCAACAGAGGAATGATAATTTAGTCCAACAGATGTATGATAATTTAGTCCAACAGATGTATTATAATTTAGTCCAACAGATGTATGATAATTTAGTAAAACAGATGTATGATAATTTAGTCCAACAGATGTATGATAATTTAGTCCAACAGATGTATGATAATTTAGTCCAACAGATGTATGATAATTTAGTCCTGTCTACAAGAAGCGCCTCCTGCATGAAGCCCTGGGTAGAGCTAAGGGTCAAAGACTGAAAAGATAAAGGACTTAAATGGTGCAAGCTGAAGACACAATCAGACATGTGTGCAGGCTTGATAATTTTGAGCAAGGAGAGGAGTCATTCAAGGTGTCCGAACAGGTTTCAATCGTGTAGGGTTCTAATCACGTTAGGTCGTGAGTGCAGAGCCTGGCCAGCTGGTGCTGCAGAATCAAAAGTTCAACAAATGATTCATGACAATTCCCGCCCAAGTGATGTGAGTGTATATACAGATGGCTTTGTGGTGAGGGGTAGATGAAGTGGTTTCATAGCAAAGGGGATGGACGTTGCCTAGTGAAGCAAAACCTTGCATATGAAATCATATCTAGTTTGAGAATGGAGGTGGAGGCAGTTTCTGCTGCCTTCCCCTGGCTTGAAAATCAGCTGTACACACATGCCGTGATTTAAACTGATTTACAGAGCATGCTGAGAAAGACTAAAATAGGCATGCTTCGTGCAGAGTGGTAAGCATCACTTCAGAAATCCCGGGTAGTTAGCATCCTTTGAATATTTTCTCCAGGTGTGTTGGGAAATGAGCAGGAAGATAGACTGGCTGGCTCTGCGCCACTTGGTGGTGAAATGATGTATGACAAATTAGATACTGTGAGGGCCCTTTGGGAGCGAGTAAACAATGCGGAAGCGCAGACAGATCATTATGGTTTAAGGAGAATGGCACTGCGAGGAGTTACCATGGGATCCGGCTGATGCTCAACACAGGCGAAGGATAAGACGGATATACAATCAGACAGTTACTGGTACCATATGAATTGGAACTCTTTGCTTGCTGCTGAAGATGGGAACTAAGCACTTATGGGAGTGACCCAAGTGCTGTGATGTTGATTCCTAATACAACATTCAGTCCTGTCCGTTTCTTGATGTTGTCATTCCAGATTCTTTACTGCCTTCCTATTCTTCAACTCTTCCCCCCCCCCTCCAACAACCCCCCTCCCATGTTGCTTGAAGTACAGTCTTTGCAATCGAGTTGGGGGGGGGGGGGGGGGGGGTTAGTGTTAGTATTAGTCGGTGTTTATTTCACACCCTTACACCGCTATACTATTTGACTTTCCTAGGAATTCCCTGAGATGGGGTGAAATAAAAGAAAAGAACCTGGCAGCCTTGACACTTTTCTTTGACACTACTGATCTGTAGCAGCTAAATATACCAGACTTTATTTGGCTTACTATGTGTCAGAACATAGATTAAAATAACAGTTTTTCTTACTTCTGATATCCAATCTGGCGCAGCAGCTTTTCATCTTCCGTGCCTAAACAAAAATAATTTGTAAATTACATTATAAATATATGTAGACTAATCTTCTTCTTCTTTTTCACCAGCTACGGACTCTGGCGGAAAGTTCTGTTTGTTCGTTGACTTCTGAATTTTGGTTTTTGTTCCAGAACTTGAGTTTTGTGTGTGCATTCGTTAACAGATCTGACTCATTTCTTCTTCCTCGTTGTCTTCGTTTTCACCAACTGTAAACTCCAACAGAAAGTTCTGGTTGTACGTCCACTTCTGGATTTTAACCTTGTTCCATAACCTGAATGTTGCATGTGCATCTGTTTTACAGATCTGGTTTTATTTGTATGTAGAAGACTGTTGGTTCCTTTGCCTCTCAGGCAGATGCACTCCCGACTCTGCAGGAAGCTTCCAATTAGTTGACTCTTACATCATGCTTGTTGGAGAGCAGTGGGTCTATGCTTGTTGGAGAGCAGTGGGTCTATGCTTGTTGGAGAGCAGTGGGTCTATTCTTGTTGGAGAGCAGTGGGTCTATTCTTGTTGGAGAGCAGTGGGTCTATGCTTGTTGGGGAACAGTGGGTCTATTCTTGTTGGGGAGCAGTGGGTCTATTCTTGTTGGAGAGCAGTGGGTCTATTCTTGTTGGAGAGCAGTGGGTCTATTCTTGTTGGGAGGCAGTGGGTCTATTCATGTTGGGAGCAGTGGGTCTATTCTTGTTGGAGAGCAGTGGGTCTATTCTTGTTGGAGAGCAGTGGGTCTATTCTTGTTGGGGAGCAGTGGGTCTATGCTTGTTGGGGAGCAGTGGGTCTATGCTTGTTGGGGAGCAGTGGGTCTATGCTTGTTGGGGAGCAGTGGGTCTATTCTTGTTGGGGAGCAGTGGGTCTATTCTTGTTGGAGAGCAGTGGGTCTATTCTTGTTGGGGAACAGTGGGTCTATTCTTGTTGGGGAGCAGTGGGTCTATTCTTGTTGGGGAACAGTGGGTCTATTCTTGTTGGGGAGCAGTGGGTCTATTCTTGTTGGAGAGCAGTGGGTCTATTCTTGTTGGGGAGCAGTGGGTCTATTCTTGTTGGGGAGCAGTGGGTCTATTCTTGTTGGGGAACAGTGGGTCTATTCTTGTTGGGGAGCAGTGGGTCTATTCTTGTTGGAGAGCAGTGGGTCTATTCTTGTTGAGGAGCAGTGGGTCTATTCTTGTTGGGGAGCAGTGGGTCTATGCTTGTTGGGGAGCAGTGGGTCTATGCTTGTTGGGGAGCAGTGGGTCTATTCTTGTTGGGGAGCAGTGGGTCTATGCTTGTTGGGGAACAGTGGGTCTATTCTTGTTGGGGAGCAGTGGGTCTATTCTTGTTGGAGAGCAGTGGGTCTATTCTTGTTGGAGAGCAGTGGGTCTATTCTTGTTGGGAGGCAGTGGGTCTATTCTTGTTGGGAGGCAGTGGGTCTATTCTTGTTGGAGAGCAGTGGGTCTATTCTTGTTGGAGAGCAGTGGGTCTATTCTTGTTGGGGAGCAGTGGGTCTATGCTTGTTGGAGAGCAGTGGGTCTATGCTTGTTGGGGAGCAGTGGGTCTATTCTTGTTGGGGAGCAGTGGGTCTATTCTTGTTGGAGAGCAGTGGGTCTATGCTTGTTGGAGAGCAGTGGGTCTATTCTTGTTGGAGAGCAGTGGGTCTATTCTTGTTGGGGAGCAGTGGGTCTATTCTTGTTGGGGAGCAGTGGGTCTATGCTTGTTGGAGAGCAGTGGGTCTATTCTTGTTGGGGAGCAGTGGGTCTATTCTTGTTGGGGAACAGTGGGTCTATTCTTGTTGGGGAGCAGTGGGTCTATTCTTGTTGGGGAGCAGTGGGTCTATGCTTGTTGGAGAGCAGTGGGTCTATGCTTGTTGGGGAGCAGTGGGTCTATGCTTGTTGGGGAGCAGTGGGTCTATGCTTGTTGGGGAGCAGTGGGTCTATGCTTGTTGGGGAGCAGTGGGTCTATGCTTGTTGGGGAGCAGTGGGTCTATTCTTGTTGGGGAGCAGTGGGTCTATTCTTGTTGGAGAGCAGTGGGTCTATTCTTGTTGGGGAACAGTGGGTCTATTCTTGTTGGGGAGCAGTGGGTCTATTCTTGTTGGGGAACAGTGGGTCTATTCTTGTTGGGGAGCAGTGGGTCTATTCTTGTTGGAGAGCAGTGGGTCTATTCTTGTTGGGGAGCAGTGGGTCTATTCTTGTTGGGGAGCAGTGGGTCTATTCTTGTTGGGGAACAGTGGGTCTATTCTTGTTGGGGAGCAGTGGGTCTATTCTTGTTGGAGAGCAGTGGGTCTATTCTTGTTGGGGAGCAGTGGGTCTATTCTTGTTGGGGAGCAGTGGGTCTATGCTTGTTGGGGAGCAGTGGGTCTATGCTTGTTGGGGAGCAGTGGGTCTATTCTTGTTGGGGAGCAGTGGGTCTATGCTTGTTGGGGAACAGTGGGTCTATTCTTGTTGGGGAGCAGTGGGTCTATTCTTGTTGGAGAGCAGTGGGTCTATTCTTGTTGGAGAGCAGTGGGTCTATTCTTGTTGGGAGGCAGTGGGTCTATTCTTGTTGGGAGGCAGTGGGTCTATTCTTGTTGGAGAGCAGTGGGTCTATTCTTGTTGGAGAGCAGTGGGTCTATTCTTGTTGGGGAGCAGTGGGTCTATGCTTGCTGGGGAGCAGTGGGTCTATGCTTGTTGGGGAGCAGTGGGTCTATGCTTGTTGGGGAGCAGTGGGTCTATTCTTGTTGGGGAGCAGTGGGTCTATTCTTGTTGGAGAGCAGTGGGTCTATTCTTGTTGGGGAACAGTGGGTCTATTCTTGTTGGGGAGCAGTGGGTCTATTCTTGTTGGGGAACAGTGGGTCTATTCTTGTTGGGGAGCAGTGGGTCTATTCTTGTTGGAGAGCAGTGGGTCTATTCTTGTTGGGGAGCAGTGGGTCTATTCTTGTTGGGGAGCAGTGGGTCTATTCTTGTTGGGGAACAGTGGGTCTATTCTTGTTGGGGAGCAGTGGGTCTATTCTTGTTGGAGAGCAGTGGGTCTATTCTTGTTGGGGAGCAGTGGGTCTATTCTTGTTGGGGAGCAGTGGGTCTATGCTTGTTGGGGAGCAGTGGGTCTATGCTTGTTGGGGAGCAGTGGGTCTATTCTTGTTGGGGAGCAGTGGGTCTATGCTTGTTGGGGAACAGTGGGTCTATTCTTGTTGGGGAGCAGTGGGTCTATTCTTGTTGGAGAGCAGTGGGTCTATTCTTGTTGGAGAGCAGTGGGTCTATTCTTGTTGGGAGGCAGTGGGTCTATTCTTGTTGGGAGGCAGTGGGTCTATTCTTGTTGGAGAGCAGTGGGTCTATTCTTGTTGGAGAGCAGTGGGTCTATTCTTGTTGGGGAGCAGTGGGTCTATGCTTGTTGGAGAGCAGTGGGTCTATGCTTGTTGGGGAGCAGTGGGTCTATTCTTGTTGGGGAGCAGTGGGTCTATTCTTGTTGGAGAGCAGTGGGTCTATTCTTGTTGGAGAGCAGTGGGTCTATTCTTGTTGGAGAGCAGTGGGTCTATTCTTGTTGGGGAGCAGTGGGTCTATTCTTGTTGGGGAGCAGTGGGTCTATGCTTGTTGGAGAGCAGTGGGTCTATTCTTGTTGGGGAGCAGTGGGTCTATTCTTGTTGGGGAACAGTGGGTCTATTCTTGTTGGGGAGCAGTGGGTCTATTCTTGTTGGGGAGCAGTGGGTCTATTCTTGTTGGGGAGCAGTGGGTCTATTCTTGATTTACCCCACAATGAGGCCCCAGGAACCCACATGGGGAGATGTGACTCATTTGCATGCAGACTGCTGGTTCCTCGCCTCTCAGGCAGATGTATTCCAACATTACAGGAAACTCCTGATTAGCCTGCTCATTAGTGTGGAGGAATGGGGAGAAGGGGGGGGGGTCCATTCTTGCAATTGGGCCCCAGAACCCACAAAAGGGACAGATTAATCTAAAATACAGCCCTTTGGAATGGAATCTGAAGAAAACCAATAACAACCCCCCCAAAAAGTCTAAGAAGGAACATACAGCTCTGTGTTCATTGTTCCCTTTAAAGATCATCTTTATCACACATCAAACATGACCATAACTGCTCCGAACTCTTCCTATGTCTCTGAGTGTTTTTATGCTAACAACTGCCATTCTGTTCTAGCTGATGCAACGATGGGGGATCCCATGTGGTTTTCCTGACTCGCTGCTCCAAATTCTGTGAAAAATAATTTCCACAAAACTGAAAGCCTCACAGCATTTAGTCTCTTGTATGGCATTGATGATGTCTCTCCTGTCCATAGTTGGCCCATTCCTGACAGTCGCATTGCCAGCCAGAGCATCTGCTCTTTCATTGCCTTTCACACCAACATGCCCTGGGACAAAAATGAAGGTGATTTTATGAAACGCTGTGTGCTGTAGCAGATGGAGTCACTGTTTCCGTATGTACCCGCCTGTCTTCTGTAGCATGCTCATTGAATCGCAGAGCCAACATGCATTGGTGAATTCCTGAGTTTTCAGCCATTCTAGGGCTTTGGTCACAGCCATGACCTCCATCGTCATGCTGCTGGTGGTAGAAACAAAGGCGTCACTGTCTTCTTTGATAACTTTCCCTTTGGTTCTTACTGTGAAAGCTCGTGCATTTCGCCTCTGACGAATTGCAGAACCATCTGTATATATAACAGGATCTTCCGGTGGTGTGTGTTTTTCCACCAATGCTTTTAATTCTGCATCAACTATTGGTGGCAACAAATCAAAGCACTGTCTTGTCAGGGTGATAACCACAATAAAGAACTGCTTGTATTCACGTGGTATGGGTATCCATTTCTCTCCACGGTTTAGATCTTAAAGGGAAATCTGTCTATTCCCGGTCAAACCAAGAACAGTAGAACAGAACAGTAGAAGAATCAAAGAATATAAATAATGGTAGAGGACCCACAGAACAAAAACAATGGTAGAAAAACCACTGATTGAAAAAAAAAACGATGGTAAAAAAAGTCATACAACACAAACAATGATAGAAGAAACATAGAACACAAACAATGGCAAAAGAGCCATAGAACAAAAACATTAGTAGAAGAATCATAGAACACAAACAATGGCAGAAGAGCCATAGAACAAAAACATTAGTAGAAGAATCATAGAACACAAACAATGGCAGAAGAGCCATAGAACATACACAATGGTAGAAGAGTCAGACAAAATATAAAAAAACTGTAGAAGAATCATAGAACACAAACAATGATAGAAACCTTATAAAACAAAAACAATTGTAGAAGAATCACTAAATATTATTTATGGTACAGTCAAAGAAAAACTAAATGGGGAAGAGTCATAAAACAAAATAATGAGCAACCGAGCAAAAAGAAAGAGTAGAAGGCCAAAAAAACAAAACAAAACAAAAAGATAAGCCAACTAGACTAATGATGATGTTCTTGTAGATGATAACGATAGTGTTGGTGTGGGTGGTGATGATAATGTTGGTGTGGAGGACAATGATGATGCTGATGTGAATGATAATAATGATGTTGGCCTGGATGATGATGTTGGTGAGGTGGTTAATAAGGATATTGATGATGATGGTATGGATGATAATGATATTATTGGTGTGGATGATAAAGATGATATTACTGGTGTGGATGATAATGATGATGATATTAGTATGGATAATAATGATCATATTATTGATGTGGATGATAATGATGATATTAATGGTGTGGATGATAAAGATGATATTATTGGTGTGGATGATGATGATGATGATATAATTTGTGTGGATGATAATGATAATATTATTGGTGTGGATGATGATGATGGTGTGGATAATGATCACGTGGGTGTTGGTGATGATGTTGGTGTGTATGAATGACAGTAAAGTCACAGAAAAAGCAATGAAGGCTGGAATCACATGCCTGCTGAAAGCTTCTGGCAGCTGGACCAAGGCATTCTCTCCAAATGACCAAACCATTTCATCTATTGTTCTTTAACTTTAAATGAACAGTATGATTGGTTTCAGTCAACCTTATTTCTAATTTCTTCATTTTTAATTTGATCTCTTCTTGCAACTTGTCTGTTGGTGTAAATCAGAAATTGAACACATGAGAAATAAGAAATCTTTTTTTTTTGTTACTCTGACACCTCTCTAACACAGCCGATCTGTTATGATTTCCTCCTCATTAGTAATCTTCACCTGCTTGCTCCCCCCCCCCCTTAAATAGGCAGTCGGTATATTGTGTTGTAGTTTAAAGTTAGGTTGCAATATCTGTGCCTTTCAACCCAACATATCTGATTGAAGAAAACCCTAAATTAATCACCTTTTATGTCAAGCTTGTTAAGAGGCAGTGAGTTTGCAGATTAGCTGCAGTTAGAACTAATAACAAACTTCTTATTCTTCTTCTTGTGTTTCTTTTCTGTTTTACACAGACAGACAAATTCTTGTGATAAACTTGACTGCTTTTAGGAGTTCCCTTTTAACAAGGGACATTCTTGAAGGACAGTTTCTGTAATCTGCACACACAGCCCACACAGGCACAATGGTGAACTACTTAGACAAAGCCCGGGCATATGCTTGTTAAGTCTGTTATGTCCTGTCCTGAGATGTAGAATAATGCCCTGCCTATGTCAGTCAAGAAAGTGGTAGTCAATTCTGGCCAGACTCTGTTCACTTCTGACAGACTGGATGGCCCTTTTCTTCTCAAAGTTACTGCATTCTCTTCCTGTTCACATTCTGCCCCTTTTATTAGAAAAGGACCACACAAAAAAGGAGTGTAAAATAAAACATCACATCACACACTCGGCAAAAACTAACAACCGGACACTTAGCATGGAGACAAAACAACACTCACAGCTGGTAAAATTTGCAAAGCGCCCCTGTGACTCCAATAAAAACCAAGTAACTAGCTGGAAGATCAGGTGGCCTAACAGTGGCAGGAAGCTGACGGCGATGAAGCATTTCAAAAAAAGCCCCGTCACTCCTTGTAAAGTTTTAAAAAACATGATAAGTAAAGCAGCCGTCAACACCATCCTTATCATCCACACCAATATCATCACTATCATCCACACCAATATCACTATCATTCACACCAATATCATCCTTATCATCCACACCAATATCATTCTTATCATTCACACCAATACCATCCTTATCATCCACACCAATATCATCCGTTTCATTCACACCAATATCATCCACACCAATATCATCACTATCATCTACACCATTATCATCACTATCATCCACACCAATATCATCACTATAATTCACCACAATATCATCCACACCAACCTTATCATCCACACCAATATTATCCTTATCATCCACACCAATATCATCCTTATCATCCACACCAATTTCATCACTATCATCCACACCAATATCATCCACACTAATATCATCACTATCATTCACACCAATTTCATCACTAGCATCCACACCAATATCATCACTATTATTTACACCAATATCACCCTTATCATCCACACCAATATCATCACTATCATTCACACCGATATCACTATCATCCACACCAACACCATCCTTATCATCCACACCAATATCATCACTATTATCCACACCAATATCATCACTATCATCCACACCAACACCATCCTTATCATCCACACCAATATCATCCTTATCATCCACACCAATATCATCCTTATCATCCACACCAATTTCATCACTATCTTCTACACCAATATCATCACTATCATTTACACCAATATCATCCTTATCATCCACACCAAAATCATCACTATCATCCCCACCAATATCATCACTATCATCCACACATATCATCACTATCATCCACACCAATACCATCCTTATCAAGTACACCAATATCATCCTTATCATCCACACCAATTTCATCACTATCATCCACACCAATATCACCACTATCATCCACACCAATATCATCACAATCATCCACACCAACACCATCCTTATCATCCACACCAATATCATCCTTATCATCCACACCAATTTCATCACTATCATTCACACCAATTACATCACTATCATCCACACCAATATCACCCTTATCATCCACACCTATATCATCCTTTTCATCCACACCAATATCATCACTATCATCCACACTGATATCATCACTATCATCCACACCAATACTATCCTTATCATCCACACCAATATCATCCACAACAATATCATCCTTAACATCCACACCAATTTTATGACTATCATCCACGCCAATATCATCACTATCATTTACACCAACATCATTCATATCATCCACACTAAAATCATCACTATCATCCACACTAAAATCATCACTATCATCTACATCAATATCATCACTATCATCCACACCAATATCATCACTATAATCCACACCAATATCATCCTTATCATCTACACCAACAATATCATCCACATGAACAATATTATCACTATCATCCACACCAACAATATCATCATTATCATCCACACCAACAATATCATCACTATCATCCACACCAATATCATCACTATCATCCACACCAACAATATCATCATTATCATCCACAACATCATCAGTATCATCCACACCAACATCATCATCCAGGCCAACATCATTATTATCCTTCACACCAGCATCATCATTGTCCTCCACAGCAACATTATCATCACCATCCACACCAACACCATCATTATCATCCACACCAACATCATCATTATCTGTCTAGTTGGCTTATCTTGATCTATCTTGTTGGTCTGTTTTGTTAGACTATCATAGTCTGTCTTGCTGGCATATCATGGTCTGTCTTCATAGTTTGTCTTATGGGTCTGTCTACACAAGGATACAAATGTTACCATTCATTGTTCTCTTTGATGGAGTCGGTAGCAAGGGAATGATAAGCAGGCAGACCAGGTAGACAAATGAAACAAGACTGATCTTTATCATGATGGCTGCGGATGTAAAGAATAAATGGTCTAATACAACACAATAATTAATATCCAGGGTCATTATTTATTATGATGTGGGAGGTTTAACTGGTGAAGTGGTTAAGATATTCGCCTCTTGCTCTTCTTCTTCATCTTCTTCTGCTTTTGACATCAGTCATACCTAAACATTGAGTCCTGTCTGGGTCACAAATAGGATTGTGCATTTAAGGTCGCCACCGGTCCCCAAGAGCTTCTCTTGCAATGTGGCTCCCTTGGGCCAGATCCCCAGTCTTTGCTGGGAGAGGTTAAGGCAGTACTGCAGTATGTGCTCAGGGGTCTGTCTTTCTGCTCCACAATTACAGGCAGCAGATTCTTTTATGCCTATCCTGTACAGGTGTGCTCGAAGACCAGTGTCCTTCCGAAGTCTAAAAATTGATGTTTGTTCTTTCCTGTTGAGTTTGTTTATGCTGTCACTCTCTGGTTTGTAATCTTCATTCTGCGTTCTCCACTCCCGCTTGAAAGACTGCTTTAGCGCTGTTTTTGTTTCCTTACAGCTGTGTGGTGGATGAGGTTGTGGAAGATTACTCCCAGCTTTTGCCAACTCATCTGCTCTCTCATTTCCTTGAATACCACAGTGGGCTGGTATCCACTGTAAGACCACTTCTGCTTCCTTGGAAAGTAAGCCAGTGTTGGTCCTTAGATCTGCAATTAGTTTGTCTTTTTTTTTTGCTTGATAGTGCTTGGAGAACAGAAAATGAGTCACTAAGTATAACAATTTTGTGCCCTCTGTGTTCCTGAGTAATGAGATGTTGGACTGCAGAAAGGAGGGCAGTTGCCTCAGCTCTGAAGTTAGTGCAGATGTCACCTGCTTGTTAGAGAGAGAGTTTCTGCTCTACTGCTAGGGGGTTTAATGTATATTCCACAACCCAACGCCTCTTGCTCTGAAGGTCATGGGTTTATTTCATTCCCGGGTCTTTTATTTCAGGAGCTACATTTTTTTAGATTCCTGGAATAATACACATTATTTGGCAGAACATTACTCATTTTTTGGCAGAATATTGCTCATTATTTGGCAGGATATTACACATTATTTGGCAGAACATTGCTCATTATTTGGCAGGATATTACACATTATTTAGCAGGACATTACACATTATTTGGCAGAACATTATTCATTATTTGGCAGGATAGTACACATTATTTGGCAGAACATTACTCATTATTTGGCAGGATATTACACATTATTTGGCAGAACATTGCTCATTATTTGGCATGATATTACACATTATTTGGCAGAACATTGCTTATTATTTGGCAGGATATTACACATTATTTGGCAGAACATTGCTCATTATTTAGCAGGATATTACACATTATTCGGCAGAACATTACTTATTATTTGGCAGGATAGTACACATTACTTGGCAGAACATTGCTCATTATTTGGCAGAATATTACACATTATTTGGCAGAACATTGCTCATTATTTAGCAGGATATTACACATTATTTGGCAGAACATTACACATTATTTGGCAGAACATTACACATTATTTGGCAGGACATTACACATTATTTGGCAGAACATTACACATTATTTGGCAGGACATTACACATTATTTGGCAGAACATTACACATTATTTGGCAGAACATTACACATTATTTGGCAGGACATTTCACATTATTTGGCAGAACATTACACATTATTTGGCAGGACATTACACATTATTTGGCAGGACATTACACATTATTTGGCAGAACATTACACATTATTTGGCAGAACATTACACATTATTTGGCAGGACATTACACATTATTTGGCAGAACATTACACATTATTTAGCAGGACATTACACATTATTTAGCAGAACATTACACATTATTTAGCAGGACATTACACATTATTTGGCAGGACATTAAACATTATTTGGCAGAATATTACACATCATATGTCCCCTCGTTTATCGTCTCATATGCTCCTATACGCTTTAAATCCTACCTCAAGCATCCTTAGTGTCTTCAACTACGAGTCATTCATATATAATTTATAGAATATCTTTCTCATCAACCATAAGTTTTTTTAAATATATATAAATAAACAGATGACAGGATGATTTGACCATTTGAGGAGAACAACCTGGCGCCACCTGCCACAGAGAGTCATGCTGAAGAATTTGACCACAACGCGAGACATAGACCAAAGATAAAACAATAGCATCGAGAACAATTTTAAACAAATCTTCTTCTTCTGCTTTGTGTTCACTGGCTGTAAACTCCGGCAGAAAGTTCTGGGTGTTTGTCCACCTATGGATTGTAGTCTTGTTCCAGAACCTGAATGCTGAGTGCATATCAGTTTCACAGATCTGGCTTATTTGTATGCAGACTCTTGGTTCCTTGCCTCTCAGGCAGACTTCCAAAGGATGCCCCCAATTAGTCTGCTTACGGAAGATAAGAAGTCCACTATGAGTTCTTAAACTACTATTGCTTTTTGAAACCAGCAGATAGCACTATTTTGTTTCCTACTTGAAGGCAGTTCGTAAGAATTATCACAGTCACAGCATCATCAAACTGTTCAGATTATCTTCACCTTCTTCTTCTTCTTCTTCTTCTTCTTCTTCTTCTTCTTCTTCATTCATTCACCGGCTGTGAATTCTGGTGGAAGGTCCTGGTTAATAGTCCGCTTGGACTTTTAGCTTTTACCTGGACCTGAGTTTTGCGTGTACAACCGTTTTACTGGCTTTTGCCGTTCTCTGCCTCACGGGCAGATGTATTCCAACTTCGAGGGAAGACGTCACGCCTATTTCTAGGATGATTGTGGACACTGTTTTGTGTAGGTCGAGATGTTGCCTTGTTTGTGTGGTGTCCTCTTTGTCTCTTTCTCTACAGGTGTTGCTCCCGGAGTACCATCTTTGGGCAGCCCTGTGGGGAACAGTTAACCCTTAAGGGAAAGCAGGGGCAGATCAAGGGCATTCCCTGCCATCCAAGGAGGCTTCCATAAATGCAGAGCCAACACATAACGCTCTGGTTCTGGGCTCACCCAAGGAATCGTCATGTCCTGCACATGCCTGCTTAACCTCACAACCGTATCAGGCTTCCCGCTCGACAAGGGCTGCACCCTCCGGAGATCAGCGGGGAGCAGCCCGCGGGTTCTGGACTTTTGTGACCACACGGATAGGTACATTCTCTTTTGTCGCACGTTTGACATCTTTAACGTGCCGTTAGCAAGACAGAATGGAGAATCCTGCGTCAGGATTGTCTTTATCTGTTCGGTCCCAACACTCGGACGAGTGGGGTCTCGGGATGTGGACATTTGGACTTTTTCCCAATCATTACTATTTATGATGGTCGGATTCTGAGCTTGCTCGTGTGCCGCAGGATCTATTTTTGTTGGATATCTGGGCTTAGCCAACCGATGAATGGTTGCTGTCATGGTGTACCTCAGCGCGGTGACGACGACACTGAGGGTTGACAGAGGATATACATCGGTAGGATCTTGCTGCGAGAGGCCACCCACAGGAGAAATTACTCATCTGAGCTGCGGGTAAATCTCTTGGTCAAGGGTTGAGTCTCAGCAGCACAATTTTCTTTTCACTCCACGAACTTTCAACCGAGGGGTGTCATTTTAGTTTAAAATTTGGCAAGCAGACTTTACTCATGTTCCAAATGAGCTTTGATAAACTTTTTCACCCATGCCTTTGGGGGCGGGCTGATGAGAGCCACAAGGACACTACACCTCTGGGGGCCGCCAACTCCGAGATCCTCTGACAGCTCTGCTCATTTGAGACATTATCCGTGGCGCACGAGGACGTGCAGCAGGAGTCTTGCATGAGGTTCCGGTAGATGAAAGGTAGAAGAAGGAAAGATAATGAAGAAACAAAATATTTTTTTTTTAATTTTATTGATCTCTAGATAGGACACACTAGACAACATAAAAATCAAAGGCTATAGCTATAGTGTCAGGAATCAAACATGTCAGCTCAAAAAGGTATGTGCTATGGAAACGCTATATGGAGGTGACAGGTTCAATTCCCGGAACTGGAAGTATAGTTTTCTATTTTTCTAATGTGTCCTTCTATCTTTCTGCTTCTTTTTATGAGTGCCGATCAATACCATATCTGTTTGTTTAACATATTTAATGGGCCTCTATTTATGTGTATTATTTTAGCTAGGCCCTGCTCACCTGTCAGTAAAACCAGTGGTAGAAAGACCCTAAAATATGCGATGAAGAATAACTCAAATGCCCCCATTTGAGTGTGCTCACTTCAGTGCCACGTCAAAATCTCCCTGCAAATGAAACATTTACAATCGATAAGAAACTAACACACCTGTGAAGAGAATGGTTACAAATCACACATGAGCATTTCAAAATGAAGAGACAACTGACAGAAGAAGAGAAGAAGAAGATATTTTATTTCTCTTCCTTTTCTTCCTCAGCATTTCAACCATGGAGGTTTATTGCTGCAGACATCATCTGTCTCCATTCATCTCTGTGACCAGCCTTCTCTCTCCAGTTGGTGACACCAAGTTTGTATAGGTCTCTCTGTACATTATCTCTCCACTATCTTTTTGGTCTGCCACACTGTCAACTCCTATTTACCTCTTGTGTACAAAGGTTTGTCCCTCTATTATCTACCAATATCTCTATTGCCCCGATCATTGCAGTCTATTAGCCCTCACAATTCCAGTCCTCCTCCTCCTAGTTTTGGGGAATAAAATCCTCACGTTCAACCGGTATCCCAAAAGGGGGAGCTTAAGGTTATAATTGTGACTAGTTTATGTGCGCCAAATAAAATGGATGAGCACTGCATGCCACCAAGAGTCCTGAAACAGTGTTAATGTGATCAAAGAATTCCAGAGAAATTTGACTAAAAAGCTCAACTAAATGTGGAAGCAGAAAAATGTGCACAACAACAAAAATAACGAGGAGAGTTTTGTGCCACTTATTATTTTTTGTGTAGTTTGACAAAGGCTGCCTGGCCAAAACGTTACGTTATTTGTGTTGTTTTGTGCACATTTTTCTACTTTCCCATTTTGTTAAGCTTTTTTGTCAAATTTTTCTGGAATTCCCTGTATTAGTTTGACTGCAGTCACCCCCCATATTTTCACCATTGATGTAATCAAAGAAGACAGACCCAAATACTGTCCCGATCACATGACAAAGTCGCCTACCGGCCAGGCAATAAGTGACCAACCAGGCAATGAGTGACCAGCCAGACAATGAGTGACCAGCCAGGCAATGAGTGACCAGCCAGGCAATGAGTGACCAGCCAGGCAATGAGTGACCAGGTCACCAATGGATGATGCTAGGTGTTACTGGTGATTTAAACAGATTATGAATTTCATTGTTGCTTCCCAGTCTCTATTGTCTGCTGTTTGAGTCTTTGATGGGTCTAAAGATTCCTCACAAGATGTCCTCTAATGTTTAAAATAAGGATTCATGTCTTCTAGTTGTATTCTAAGTTTCAGAGTCATATAAGTCGGTTAGTAGTTAGTCTTAACAGTATTTTATATACTGTGTCCTTGGTCACATAACATAACATAACAACATAACATAACAACATAACATAACAACATAACATAACAAAACATAACCCTTGACCCATTTAGAGTCGTGGAGGTGTATTGATGGAAGCACTAGCACATAAAACCCACCATCTTTTTCTGTCTTCCACTTGATGAATAAGCCTGTCCATTTCTTGGTGTTGTCATTCCATGTTCAACTTTGCCCTCATTTCCTTCTACTAGTTCCCCCCTCCCCCCCCCCCCCATTGTTCACTGAAGTAAATTCATTCGCAACTGAATCATGTCTAGACACATGCCCAAAGCAAGCTAGCTTGTGACATTTCACCACTGCCAATATAGGCTCCTGATTTCTTGATGATATGTATATTTTGTCTCTGACATATTTATTAGTTTTGTGTTCTAATTAACAGCTAATTAACTGTGCTAATAAACAGCATCCTTTCTCGAAAGCTGAAATATTTTGGTCATATCAAGCGCCACGATGGATTGGAAAAGATTATAGCAGAAGGCATAGTACCAGGCAGGAGGGGCAGAGGCCGACCGACATGAAGATGGGCACACTCCTTGAATGCGAAAGAGCATGAGGCAGGAGAACTGGCCAGAGACTGAGTTTCATTCAGGCAGACTGTGATGAGAGCGACGTTCTGCAAAAGGACCTGCTACATGATGATAATGATGTTCTAATTCATAAAATGCGTCTGTAGCATTTACATTCGAAAGTCTGAATCCTCCTTTCCATTTCCTCAGTGAGAGTCCAACTCTCACATATGTATAAGAAAATGTGTCCTTGGTGTTAAGAGACAAAGTATCTGATTTTAGCATACACATGTACTTCATACTTGCGCCCGGATCTCTAGCGTAGTTGGCTAAACCGGATTGCGCGGTGACCGGGTGACGAACTCCTTGTGGTCCGGGTTCACTCCAGGGGGTAGGCAGAAAAGCCACATTTCTCCCAGATTTACGGTATTTACAATGGAATCAAGGCCGAAAGGTTGTGATATCCATAATACTGAGCCTAAGGGTTAACAACTCATGGCTTCTAGATACTAAAACAAACAAACAAACTTCATACATGCAACAAAACTGAATTTAAATATAGTGGGAAAGAGGTGCCTAGAAGGTGTGTGCTGATGAGTGCTAGAGGCTGTATGGTACTTTTTTAATATTCTACCCAAAACAGGGGATATACGGGACAGTCTAATATTTCAGGGGGTGGTAGATAGGCTGCATGCAGTCGTGGGACCTAGGCTGCACTCTCTTGTGCAACATAGGTGGGTTGGGGGCCAGTTCTAGATGTTTTGAAAGTATCAGAAAGCCGGGAAACCCAGACTTACCACCCTTTAAAATCTTGAACTCTCCTGTGATGTCATCTGGGGTAGGATATTAATAAAGAACCGGCTGTACCACTTTGTAGTTACTGGTCCCTGCATCTCTTCCTTCATTCATTGTCCTGTTGTGCTGTCATACGTCATACAGGGCTTTAGTCTATTCCTCCATTCTGTTTTATACTGTGCACAAGATCATAGATGGGATCCAGCCCAGCACCCTTGGCCTCCCTCATTAATGTTTGTTTTAGTGTTTCTTTTGGGCGTCCTCACCTCCTCAACTCCTCTATTTCCTATTGCATTGCCTGTTTGGTGATGCTCTGCTACTGTTTTATCAAGATGTGTCCAATGTAGTGCCAGCTTCTCTGTCTTACAACAGTGGATAGTGGATACTAGTGGTTTCCCAGACATGTCTCTTTTCTCTTCATATTTTTTAATACTGCATCTCTAGGGTCCACCAATTCTGATATCTCTGACAAATCAGATTAGGCCTTTGATCGCCATATATCCATGGTGAACATTAAAGAATGGAGAAGGAAATATATGTTAATGAGGAAAGATTGGAAGTGGTGGAAAATTTCGAATATCTTGGGTCACTGGTTACCAACAATGGTGACACAATGAGAGAAATTAAACGGCGACTATCAATTGCTCTTCAAAGACTAAAACAACTGAATAAATTATGGAATTGTACAGATAGAATTACAAAGGTCAGATTTTTAAGAGCATGCATCTTTCCCATTGCAACATACGCCTGTGAGACCTGGACACTTACTAAACAAGCGGAACAGCGCATAAATGCATTTGAATATAAATGTTACAGACAGGTTCTAAGAATATCTTGGGTAAAGAAATGAACAAATGCATCCATACTTCAAGAGCTGAATATTGAAGAGGGTTGGCTAGTAAAGACAATAAAACAAAGAAAATTGAAATATTTTGGTCACTTGAAACGTCATGGAAGTCTAGAGAGAACAATAATGGAGGGGTATATGCCTGGGAAGAGAGGAAGAGGAAGGCCAAGGAGAAGATGGGTGCAGGATGTGGCAGATGATCTCCAGATGGGTGTATCAGACGCAGGACATCTTGCTCATGATAGGAAGGTTTTCCGGAGGGTTGTTATGGCAGCGAGGTTCCGCGAGGGACATGCTACTGAATGAATGAATGAACATTAAAGATGTATGGCAACAAAAAACAAACAGAGAGCCCACCAGTAAAGTCTGGTTGTTCGTTAACTTTTCGACTTAAGTCTCGTCCCATAACTAGAGTTTTGCAACTAATAAAGGACAGGAAACGACACCTAACTCCTCTCTGCGACACAAGCAGGGCAGTAAGACAAAAGAATTAATGGTCGTCTGCAAAATCGACAGTCTGTTAACAAACTCCGATAGCAAATCTAATTTACTGTCTGTCTTGCATTAGCTGTAAAATTAATATAACTTACATTTGGACAAAACTAAATTTAACAGAGAAAACAATTACCAAAAGTGAAAACCTTCAAATAAGTCCGATATTCGTAAATACCGCGGACAGATTTCATTTGTGGTCGTCTCCTCTCCTTGAGTTTTGTTCGACTTGTTTCTCCGTGGCGATAACGACCGGTGGACTTGTTCCAGAAAGTTTCTGACCGTTTGTCCTCAAAATATAAAGTATCACTAACATTTAATATGTTTCGGCAAGAACTGTTGTATTTTTTTTTTTTTTAATTAGGGATCTTTGGTTGTTGATTGACTAGATAGTTTTCTACTAACAGTCCTTTGTCATGTCGTTCTGTTCATTAGTCGATGCGCAGGGTTCGGCTAAATCACATCAATAGGGGAAACATGTCGTATAATTCTTCTTCTTCGCGTTCACCGGCTGTAGACTCCAGCGGAAAGTTGTGGTTGTTCGTCTACTTCTAGGCCTGCATTTTGCGTGCCTATCTTTTTTTTACATATATGGCTTACTTGTGTGCAGACTGTTGGTTCCTCGCTTTTCTGGCCGATGCACTTCAGGTTGGAAGGAAATATAATACCCTTTATTAGTCGCCTGTAATGACTTGGTTGTTAGAAGGAAACTGGGCCTTTTTGTGACCACTGAAAAGATCCATGGGGAAAGTGACAGAGAAAGACATCGCCAGATGAATTCAGACAGCCTTTTGTCATTGCATGGAGGAGTGTCAACACACGACTTTATACATGTTGTTATAGATCGCAAAATGAGTAGGGAGGGATGTGATCGCTCAAGCCAATCGGCAAGGCATTTGATGATAATGATTGTTAGGGTCAGTGGATCTATCCCCCATCCCCACCCCATGGGACCTCGGAACCCACACTGGTAAGTAAAGTAAAGTAAATATCCCTTTTTACGCCTTAGGTGCATCGGGCATATGGGAAGAGCACCCATATTTTTACAGACCA